TTAGACACATTACTGGGAGTATTATTGCTGTGGAGCTCTGTTATGCACTTAGACACATTACTGGGAGTATTATTGCTGAGGAGCTCTGTTATGCACTAGACACATTACTGGGAGTATTATTGATGAGGAGCTCTGTTATACACTCAGACACATTACTGGGAGTATAATTGATGAGGAGCTCTGTTATGCACTTAGACACATTACTGGGAGTATTATTGCTGTGGAGCTCTGTTATGCACTTAGACACATTACTGGGAGTATTATTGCTGTGGAGCTCTGTTATGCACTCAGACACATTATTGGGAGTATTATTGCTGCGGAGCTCCGTTATACACTCAGACACATTACTGGGAGTATTATTGATGAGGAGCTCTGTTATGCACTTAGACACATTACTGGGAGTATTATTGCTGTGGAGCTCTGTTATGCACTTAAACACATTACTGGGAGTATTATTGCTGTGGAGCTCCGTTATGCACTCAGACACATTACTGGGAGTATTATTGCTGCGGAGCTCCGTTATACACTCAGACACATTATTGGGAGTATTATTGATGAGGAGCTCTGTTATGCACTTAGACACATTACTGGGAGTATTATTGATGAGGAGCTCTGTTATGCACTTAGGCACATTACTGGGAGTATTATTGCTGTGGAGCTCTGTTATGCACTTAGACACATTACTGGGAGTATTATTGCTGTGGAGCTCTGTTATGCACTCAGACACATTACTGGGAGTATTATTGATGAGGAGCTCTGTTATGCACTTAGACACATTACTGGGAGTATTATTGCTGTGGAGCTTTGTTATGTATGTAGACACATTACTGGGAGTATTATTGCTGTGGAGCTCTGTTATACACTCAGACACATTACTGGGAGTATTATTGATGAGGAGCTCTGTTATGCACTTAGACACATTACGTATTATTGCTGTGGAGCTCTGTTATACACTCAGACACATTACTGGGAGTATTATTGCTGTGGAGCTCTGTTATACACTCAGACACATTACTGGGAGTATTATTGCTGTGGAGCTCTGTTATGCACTCAGACACATTACTGGGAGTATTATTGCCGTGGAGCTCTGTTATGCACTCAGACACATTACTGGGAGTATTATTGCTGTGGAGCTCTGTTATACACTCAGACACATTACTGGGAGTATTATTGCTGTGGAGCTCTGTTATACACTTAGACACATTACTGGGAGTATTATTGCTGTGGAGCTCTGTTATACACTCAGACACATTACTGGGAGTATTATTGCTGTGGAGCTCTGTTATACACTCAGACACATTACTGGGAGTATTATTACTGTGGAGCTCTGTTATACACTCTGACACATTACTGGGAGTATTATTACTGTGGAGCTCTGTTATACACTCAGACACATTACTGGAAGTATTATTGCTGTGGAGCTCTGTTATACACTCAGACACATTACTGGGAGTATTATTGATGAGGAGCTCTGTTATGCACTTAGACACATTACTGGGAGTATTATTGCTGTGGAGCTCCGTTATACACTCAGACACATTACTGGGAGTATTATTGATGAGGAGATCTGTTATACACTCAGACACATTACTGGGAGTATTATTGATTAGGAGATCTGTTATGCACTTAGACACATTACTGGGAGTATTATTGCTGTGGAGCTCTGTTATGTACGTAGACACATTACTGGGAGTATTATTGACGAGGAGCTCCGTTATGCACTTAGACACACCAACAATATGGAGGGACATTAGGATACAAAAGAGGGATTTAGGCCCAAAATATAGACTGTCCCTCATAAATAGGAATATTTGGGAGGTATGTGATTGCACAGATTATAAATATCCCTATTCTCTCTACCACTCACTCCACCCGTGCCCAATAATTCATTGAACGTTGATACTAGTATGAAATGCGTTAAATAACCCTCCGAATTTCTTTGCTGAAATGTTACCACATACCATAGTAATTCACTGAGAGGACTTTGGCTATGAGACATTAGAAACAAGATTGAAATAAAGAAAATACCCTGTTTTGTTTGACTACTGTTTGCGGCAGTGATGGTTAACCTTGGGACCGCAGATTTTACTTTATTAAGTTTTCAATGACCCATAGTAGGGCTGGTTGTGTATCACATGAAATGTAGTTTAGAGACATCTAGGTTCAAAAGGTTCACTAGTCTATGTTAAAGAAATAATCATTATCTTCCTGTAATCTATGTCACTGCTGTAATACTGGCCTCAGTTACAATGCTTTGTTGTTCTAATTTGATAACGATCCCTGAACTTCATCCAATATTGCATGTTTGTTTTAAACACAATCATAATTCAAAATGTTTTGATCATTTTCACGCTAGTATCAACAGGGGGGATATGACAGAAACATTTAAATACATAAAGAGAATCAACACAGTAAAGCAGGAGACCATATTTAAAAGAAGAAAAACTACCACAACAAGAGGACATAGTCTTAAATTAGAGGGACAAAGGTTTAAAAATAATATCAGGAAGTATTACTTTACTGAGAGGGTAGTAGATGCATGAAATAGCCTTCCAGCTGAAGTGGTAGAGGTTAACACAGTAAAGGAGTTTAAGCATGCGTGGGATAGGCATATGGCTATCCTAACCATCAGATAAAGACAGGGACTAATGAAAGTATTTTAAAAATATTGGGCAGACTAGATGGGCCGAATGGTTCTTATCTGCCGTCACATTCTATGTTTCTGGTAATGGCATTGCAATTAGAAAAGATCATTAACCAGGCTCAACTTTTTTTTTTCTCTTCAATAATCATACAATCTAAAGATCTATGCCACGTTTGCGAGATTAATGACAATCAAGATGATAATTTTGCAAGCTTCGCAAATGTATGAGTAGTGCTAATAGGTGATACCTGTTGCATTCCACACTGACATTGTTACTTTTGCATGTTTAAAGTACTTTGAAAGCAGACATTTTGGGCACATGTGCTTTTGTTATCCAAAGAGAAACCACAAGTTCAACATTGTGCAGTTTGTTGAAGAAAGGAACTAAAAAAAGTAATAATAATATAGAACGTTTCTGCCCAATGGCCTAAATCATGTATGTTTCTTATGTTATTCAATTCACTAGTTATATTAGTTTACCAGTTATTTACTCTTACAGGGAGTGCAGAATTATTAGGCAAGTTGTATTTTTGAGGATTAATTTTATTATTGAACAACAACCATGTTCTCAATGAACCCAAAAAACTCATTAATATCAAAGCTGAATATTTTTGGAAGTAGTTTTTAGTTTGTTTTTAGTTTTAGCTATGTTAGGGGGATATCTGTGTGTGCAGGTGACTATTACTGTGCATAATTATTAGGCAACTTAACAAAAAACAAATATATACCCATTTCAATTATTTATTATTACCAGTGAAACCAATATAACATCTCAACATTCACAAATATACATTTCTGACATTCAAAAACAAAACAAAAACAAATCAGTGACCAATATAGCCACCTTTCTTTGCAAGGACACTCAAAAGCCTGCCATCCATGGATTCTGTCAGTGTTTTGATCTGTTCACCATCAACATTGCGTGCAGCAGCAACCACAGCCTCCCAGACACTGTTCAGAGAGGTGTACTGTTTTCCCTCCTTGTAAATCTCACATTTGATGATGGACCACAGGTTCTCAATGGGGTTCAGATCAGGTGAACAAGGAGGCCATGTCATTAGATTTTCTTCTTTTATACCCTTTCTTGCCAGCCACGCTGTGGAGTACTTGGACGCGTGTGATGGAGCATTGTCCTGCATGAAAATCATGTTTTTCTTGAAGGATGCAGACTTCTTCCTGTACCACTGCTTGAAGAAGGTGTCTTCCAGGAACTGGCAGTAGGACTGGGAGTTGAGCTTGACTCCATCCTCAACCCGAAAAGGCCCCACAAGCTCATCTTTGATGATACCAGCCCAAACCAGTACTCCACCTCCACCTTGCTGGCGTCTGAGTCGGACTGGAGCTCTCTGCCCTTTACCAATCCAGCCACGGGCCCATCCATCTGGCCCATCAAGACTCACTCTCATTTCATCAGTCCATAAAACCTTAGAAAAATCAGTCTTGAGATATTTCTTGGCCCAGTCTTGACGTTTCAGCTTGTGTGTCTTGTTCAGTGGTGGTCGTCTTTCAGCCTTTCTTACCTTGGCCATGTCTCTGAGTATTGCACACCTTGTGCTTTTGGGCACTCCAGTGATGTTGCAGCTCTGAAATATGGCCAAACTGGTGGCAAGTGGCATCGTGGCAGCTGCACGCTTGACTTTTCTCAGTTCATGGGCAGTTATTTTGCGCCTTGGTTTTTCCACACGCTTCTTGCGACCCTGTTGACTATTTTGAATGAAACGCTTGATTGTTCGATGATCACGCTTCAGAAGCTTTGCAATTTTAAGAGTGCTGCATCCCTCTGCAAGATATCTCACTATTTTTGACTTTTCTGAGCTTGTCAAGTCCTTCTTTTGACCCATTTTGCCAAAGGAAAGGAAGTTGCCTAATAATTATGCACACCTGATATAGGGTGTTGATGTCATTAGACCACACCCCTTCTCATTACAGAGATGCACATCACCTAATATGCTTAATTGGTAGTAGGCTTTCGAGCCTATACAGCTTGGAGTAAGACAACATGCATAAAGAGGATGATGTTGTCAAAATACTCATTTGCCTAATAATTCTGCACTCCCTGTATATTGATTCCTTGTCATTAAAGGGATACTCTAATCACCATTAACTCTGTAACAAGGTATCGTGATTATGATTCCAGGAGACGTTTGGTGCTGTCACATGGTGATCTGATTTGGAATGGTTTGACATTTACTTGGCTTTTGTCCTCCGGGAGGCATAACCACCTAGTAAAGTCAAATGCCAGAGCTGAAAAAAAATGCTTGCGCTGTACTCCTGCACAGCAACAAAATTTCAGCCAATGAGGTAATCAGGAGAGCCGTGCTGAGTGCGGAAATCCTGATTACCTCAGATTTTTAAAATGGCATCATTGATGGAGGACTCCATATCTGTGTCTGCCACATATTTAGTGGATGCCTCTCTTAGAGGCAGCCCCATCAATGTTAGAAAGCTCCATAAGAGAGCTTTCCTTGCCAGGGATCTATCCTTTTCATCTTCTGAGGAGGATATGGGCCCAGTTTTACGTAAAGAGAATAAAGAGAGGCGGCTGGTCTCTTTTGCCAGTTCCTCATGTGACTAAAAATTTTCTGCTCCTCCTTCCCCGCATACTTGTTTGAGTAAGCGAAAAATTAAAAGGACAGGATCCCAAAAGAGGAATAGTGTGTTTCCCTCGTTTGAGCACCAGAAACACCTTCCAGAGAAAAAGGATAAATCTCGTTGGAGGTTAGCTAATCCTTCTCCTTCCTCTTCTAGAGCGTTTGCTCATTTTTCCTCCCAAAGCCGTTCCAGTTCTAGACACAGCTTTCCAGAAATTGACTGGGTATCTGAGGAAGTGGTACGTTCAGCAGCTTCCACTGAGCGAGGGAAACTTAGCAACGTTCAGAAGAGTAGAGTGAGCCTCCTAGGAAAGACTCTCCCATCAAAATTATTTCACTCCAGATGGGTTATGGAACATGACTCTGAGGTTAGAGATTTTTCCAAACTAGCCTTCAGATCCCCCTTGGTTAAGGAGGATGACCTTCTCCTCAGGAACCACATTGGTATCACGGACATCCAGTCTTTAATGGCTCCTGATGTAGTTCCTGCTCTGTTATCTATCACAGGGAGCAGTGTATCTACAGATCCCACAGACCAGACTTTTCATAATATACAGTTTAAAATTGCTGATACTATGGGCCCACTATTACTGATGCTAGAGAAAGCAGAAAAAGAAGGCAACGCTCAGAAACCTTCTGCTTCATCTCTGCTGGCGTCTAAGATGACTTTATTGAAAACATCCAGCGGGTCAGTGCTAATTATTGGCCAATCCTTTAATTACATCTCAAACATTCGCAGAACCCGCTGGCTCCACGCAGCAGGAATGTCTGACCTAGCTCATAAATCACATGAGTTCACAAATTTGGAGGATTTTTACCTTTTCAGTCCCTCGTTCATTCAGAGGTTAAAGGCCATTATAAGGCAAAGAGATCATTTTCAGAGCTCAAAAAGTCCTTTCCTGGCTACAAGAAGCCCTTTCGGACAGAGGGTCACACCTATCGGGCTGCAGTAGCATCCTTAGAAGCATCTCACCAGGCAAAGTACCGCCAATACAGTGGAAAACACAAGCTCCCAGGTGGTGGCAGAGTAGCTCATTCCAGGGGTGGACCAGCTTCCAAGAAAAAACCCATGCATTCAGGTAAGTGTGCCTCCTCACACGCCACTAAATTGGAAGGATATTTCTTCAGACAAATGGGTTGTAAAGATTTTTCAAAGGGGTTTACAACTCCCCCTTTTAAGGTTCAGAGGTTTGCACCCGGCAGAGAGGTGAACCCCATGCTAGATACTTCCCTTTCCCTAGCTTTAAATCAAGGGAAGATAGAGTTGGCAGACATGTCTATTACAGGATGGCTCAGTCCGTTTTACCCAATCCCAAAATCAGACGGTTCCTGGATGGAAGGTTTATCAGATCTTCCAGGCTGAGTACAGAAAACATTTTTCTGCATAACGTTAGACCTAAAAATGCCTTACATTCAGTCCCTATAGCCAAGAAACACAGGCGTTTCCTCAGGTTTCGGTGGAAAGGAAAGGTGTGGCAGTGGACTTTTATGGTGTTTGGACTATCCAATGCACCATACACATTCTCCAGAATAATGAAATCAGTGATAGTCCATGTCAGACTAAAAGGTTACATGTGTCTGTACTATCTAGACAACATCCTGCTCATGCACCCAGATGAGGAAGTCCTTGCTTATCAGAGGGATTGTCTTGCTTCACTTTTACAAGACCTAGGATTTGTAGTGACTTTACAGAAATCAGTCCTAATTCCCACTCAAAGCATTCTCTTTCTGGGTTTTGTACTGAACACCAGGACTATGTCACTAGGAATCCCTCAAGACAAATGGGACAAATTATTGGTACATATGACCTCACCTCTCAGGCACCAGAGTTGGTCCTTGAGAGATCTGGCAAAGATTATTGGAAAATTAATAGCTTTAACACCAGCCTACGAAAATTTCCCTTTACTTTGCAGAAGAAATCAGCTGGTTTTAGGGAACTGATTAAGACAGGGTGGCCATTGGGAAGTCAGAGAAGAGTTGAAGTCTATTCGGAGGTTAGAAATCCTACTTTCTTGACCCCTGTTAGAGCAGCCGTTTGCAGTTACTCTGACGTCAGATGCCTCAAATCATGGTTGGGGTTCGTTTACAGCCCAAAACGCAATAAGAGGAATTTGGTCAGACCAAAAGAGACTCCTTCATATAAGCATCTTGGAGTTAAGAGCAATAAAATTAGCTCTCCAGGGCCTATTTCCTCTAAACCAGTTACTGACGTCGGTAAAACTCCAATCGGACAACAGGGCCGCGGTGGCTTATATAAACCACAGAGGGGGCACAAGATCAAGGGGTATTTGTTTAGAGTTCGGGTTTACATTCTGGGAGGGGCGAACAAGCTCGCAGATTCTCTCTCACTAGAGTTTGTCTCTGGCAACGATTCAATTAAAGATTGATCTATTCCAAAGGATAGAAAGCAATTTTGGCCAGAGACAAGCATATCTGTTTGCATCCTAAATGTCTGCACAAACTCCCAGGTTTGTCTCCAGGATTTGGACAAAGAGAGCTTGGAAAATGGATGCACCGTCTTTCCAATAGACAGATGTTCCAGCCCCTTATGCCTTTTCCGCTCCATCTTTACTGATGAAAGTGCTGGAGAAGATCCGCAGGGACAGGGTACAGAGTTTAGTTCTCGTTTACCAAGTATGGACCTCCAAACCCTGTTATCCATCAGTTAGTCAAGGGAATCAAGATCCCATTGGGCATGACTGTGGACTGCTTTCAGGGAACCAGCGATCATTTGCTCAAGCTTCCCCAGCTGATGTGGATCGCAGCCCTGGTAGGCTGTTAACGCATCCCATTTTATCGAATCAGGTCTTGGACATCATTAATTCATCTTTAAGACGCAGAACTAAGGTAAGATATAGAAAGATGATTTGAGGAATTCAAAGAATGGGAGGTTTCTTTTCTATCTACTTCTCAGGGACCTGATACTATTCTATTGGCTTTAGAATTTCTTACCCTTTAGTTCCATTCTGGTTTAGAGGTCAATACCAAGTATAAGGATAAATTTCCTTATCCCTTACTTTACTCAGGATGCCCTATATTTGAGATTACTAAAAGGTTAATCAGTCTGCCGCCCATATACTCCATGGTACACATCTACTTGGGATGTAGACCTCTTATAAAATTTCCTTAATACTTTGGATAATGCTAAAATTGATTTAAGATGGACTGCTATTAAGTTGGCTTCTTTGCTGTCATTGACCTTGGCAGCTAGAGGAGCTGAGTTAACTCAAATCCATATTTCAGAACCATGGTTGTTCCGGACCCCGGGAGGGTTCCATATAATACTTAAAAGGAGACACAAACTCACATACTTCCCCAAGTACGGTGGAATTGGATTTGGTCCAAGATCCTTCTGAACCAAGCTTATGTTTAGTCAGTTTATTACAATCGTACCTTGACTTTTTCGCTGCGTTTAGAAATGATATCAGTCAATTATTTATTACATCAAGGAATCCCTTTCATGCAGCCAAGGTTAATACAATTGGAGGTTGGATACTTTCCGCCATATCTTCGGCTGGTATTGATGTTTCTGGGCCCAAAGGCCACTCAATTAGGGACTCCTCAGCTACTAAAGCAGCAGCAAAGGGTCTTCCCCTCCCTATTATCTTGAAAGCTGCAAGGTGGTTGTCCAGTAAAACCGTTGTTAGATTTTACTGAAGGCCAAAAGTTGAAAGCCTTCAGTTTCTTAGGACCACTACCACGTGTGTGCTATTCTACCAACTAGCTTTGTTAGGTGGTTATGCCTCACGGAGGACAAGTCAGAGTTTGCAGGAATCTATGACCTGCAAACTTTCTTTGTCTTAGGGATGAGCATAACCACCAATAGCGCCTGTCCCACCCTCCCCGAGTGTAAGGGTTTTGCCTGCTGGTGGTAGTTTGTTTTTCTTTACATAAGGTTATCTTGTGGTCATTCGGCCTATTTCTAACTGTTTTCTGTTTTTTTTACAGACTATAACTGTACAAGACCGACAAACCAAGGATCCACATAAGTAGTAACACTGGATGCTAATAGTATCTGCAATAGGAAATTCTCATGGGCTCCCTGCATAAAGAATCTGCTTTCAGAGACTTGTTACAACATTTCATTTTTCTATACAGAACTTATTTTGTTGCAATTTACGATATTCCAGTTTCAGTGTCTATTTGATACTTTGTTAAGCTTATACATTGTTGCCTTGTTATCTGTTTAGCTGTGTGCATTATACAAAAGTTTTCAAGTTCATCACATTTGTCTTTACGACTTATTAAATATTTCCTTGTTCCCCTTTATTATTGGATCCTTGAAATCTTTTTTTGTTTAGATGTTTAATTAAGCATCTCTACCCTTTGGGTAATATATATTCTCAGTGCTTCATAGGATGAGCTAACAATCCGCAGTTTCCCAATTTTTCAAATCTGAGGTAATTAGGATTCCTGTGCTCAGCACGGCTCTCCTGATTACCTGATTGGATGAAACGCTGTTGCTGTGCAGGAGCACAGCACAAGCGTTTTTTCAGCTCTGGCATTTGACTCCGGGAGGCTGCCACATACCCACTAGCTTTGCTAGGTGGTTATGCTCATCTCTAAGACAAACAAAGTTTGCAGATCATAGATTCCTGCAAACTCTGATGTCGGGCTACCGTGGTCTTTTCTGTCTGCGATGACATACTCAAGTGCAAGTTCATAGTTCAGCATTAACAATATCAGTTTTGTAGAACTCTCAACACTATTCATTGTCTGAGAGTATGTGTAAAGCACACAATTCATTTAACCTCATTTATTTAATATAATTTACTATAATATAATTTAATATAATTTACTTGCATATTTTGTGTACCCATGGTACAGCACTGTTAACTATACAGTTTCCTTCTGAATAAAACAATAACGCGAAGATAAACCGTATCCTGTTTGTTATCTTGTTTGGTGTGACAACCTGAGTACACTTCGAGAACAGATCATTGATGAACGCCCAAATAAATAATGTATGCAACCCATGTCGGTGCAAGAGAAAACAATCTCTTGTTACAGTAACTAGTTTGGCTCAGTACTTGGCATTGTCAGCTACAGAGTGCCACTGTTCATAAATTTTTTATGATTTTTTTTTTATAGCTGATTACACTGTGGTTAAAAAAAGACTAACGACACTACTGAGGTCTCATAAAAAGAGCCACAGCCTCTCCCAGGTCAATGCCAAAAACTACGTACTACCTGCCTCTCTCAGCAAACATGGTAACATGATTGTTATGTATACATCAAGGCTTAAAGAATATAATGTAGCAAACATTCATAGCATTTTAGTGGACATTATCCTCGTGCTGTAATGGTCTCCAGCCAGCATTTGCTAGGCGACACACTGTTGTTAACAAAGAAGGGGGATGGGATTATAGGAGACGCTTCAACTTGTCAAACCAGAGTATTGAAACTCCCTTTGTTTCCCGGCAACCAAAGGCAGCTTCTGTGAGTAAAAAAAAAAAAATTTTTTTTTTTTTTTTTAAATGACTTCCTGAATTAACTGGATTTCACACAAACAAGTAATGGCAGTTTAATGTGTGAATGATACAGAGAGGCTAAAAAGGGGTAGTTGGAAAGGAGCAAGATTCCAAATCCCCACATGTGAGACCGACTGCTGCTATTGCAGATGGAAAAGGATGTGGATAAAAGGGGCAGCAATCACATCCCATCATCCACAGTTACACATTCATGTTAAAAATAGACAAAACCTATATGAGGAAGCATGGAGAACTCGGAAAATGGAGGGATGTACAGATATTAAGCACCTCTAAGATGGAAGAATCAAGGCTTAAGGTGAGACAGGTGCAGAGAAAAAAAAGAGTGCAAGCCTTTAGGGCAAGTGGTAATACTAATGTCGCTACTAATGCATTTGCCTTTTTTTTTTCTAAGGATGACAAATATACAACTGCATTCTGGTTGTACATGCCACAAATCCAACATCAATGGAAGCATTAAAGCATTTTGATTAAGAAATCAGATTAAATTTCTATTCTCACAATAAATATATGCTGGTGTTAATTACATATATCATTTTTTTTCCAAGACATTTTCAGTTAAAATTAGTTACAAATAGTAAATAGAAAATATCAGCATAAACAATATATATTTTATTGTGCTACCTATGTTACCTTTTAAGAAAAAATATATTTTTTTTCTCACTTGTTTATATTTTTGAAAACATTTTTTTTTTTTTTTTAGATATCTTATCAAATTAAACAAAATCTGCTATTTCTATTGTACAGAGATTCTTTACCATTGTTTTTCTTTTTTTTTCCTTCTTAAGTTAAAGGATCTTTTTTTTTAACCCCGGGCATATTTTTTTTTAATACAGTTTCTATTAATGGAATGTGAAAGAACAGATATCTGATTAGTGTGGGAAAAAAACGTTTTGTGTCTTATACTAAGCAACCGAAGCCTTGGGCGAATATTTCGTTTTAGAAGTCATTCTATTGAAAGATCCATCACTTACATCCTCTGATCATATAACTTCTTTGTTACATTATGTCTCTTTTGGCTTATTAGAGTAACATCCTTGTGATTATATATCAGTGTTCTTCTTAAATATTCACTAAACGCAGGGTTTTAGGTACTGAGTAATAGTAAGACTGCGTATCTTTAGTGTGACAATTGAGCAGTTCATAGGACTTTAGTACATAAACACAAATGACTTAAAATTAAACTTATCGTTTTAAGTAAGTTGGAGTTTTTGATCTTAGACTATGATAAATCATATTTTCGCAACAATATGTGTGCTTTACACGTTAACAATAAAAAGGTCAAGTGGAGGCCCTTCCTCTCCCAAAACACAACAGGTGATGCTAGTTTGTCACCTGCTCTTTCTACTTTCTAAAATAAATGTTCCCAATTTTCCTCATTGATAGGTGGATATAGAATCTGGCAGGAAAGAATATGAATTTGTTAAACATAGATAATAGCATAGTTTGTTTATTAAATTGTGCTATTTAATTTGTGAAACATTTTGCAAATTAGACATTTACAAATGTCAAGAGTTATAGTCTCATACAGGTGATAATGATCTGAATCAGTGGAGTCCAAAAGGTAATCTCACACTATTAGAGGGAACCCATGACAAATGACAATCATTATTCCAGGAGTACGGATATTTTCTTTCTATCCGCCTTTGACATTAAAAATGAACTAAATATTATTATTCACCTCATTTCCAGTGCCATGACTACTCCAATCCATTGCTTGTCATTGAGAAGCAATAGATTGCTACAAGGCATGCGCGGTCAAATGTCGAGCCCTCCATTTACATGCTGTTATCCGCAGCATTTGATTTCCAGAGTGAGTCTTAAATAGTCTGGAGGAACAAGTGCCTCTAGCAGCTGTCAGGAAGACAAACACCAGTAGTGGATTTACTAATGTAAGTAATGTACTAAGACAGCCTCTGGTGCCTTTCTACCAGATTTTACTGGACTCTAGGTCACCTAAACGAGACTGGATGTCATCACGCTCTTCATGAAGACATACAGCATCAGTGAGATTCCCATAGGAAAGCATTGATTCAATGGGGAGGGTCTAATGCGCTTGAGGCACATGCCGCACATGAGCATTAGGTCCCCCCATTGGATGATGTCGGATGAGTTGGAGCGCTGGTCCAGAGCCAAAGAACATCGGTGCTGGTAGCGGGTGAGTAACTAAATGTTTTTTTAACACTTTATTGGTCCTGTGGGAGGCAAGAGAGCGGGGGACCAGAGGGCTCTATATTATACACAGCTTTGTCTTCTGAACCCTATAAATTCCCTCTACCTAATGTAAACATTGCAATTCCTAAAGCACTGCATTGCTTCCAATTGAATGGTTAAAATGACAGGACCACTGCACACAGAGTACTTCATTGACATGTGGAGTGACTACATTGTTTCTTTAAGGCTGACATCATTAGGTTTATAATTTTACAGCTTGAGATCTACTTTTTGGACACCCCGATTTGAAGCATTTCTTTTCCACTTTCAGATAACTAATGATCTGCATGGCATGCATGTTTTTTTTTTTTTTTTAGAATACCTATAAAATTTATAGCTGTCCTAATCATTTGCATTGAAGAACATGTCTTGTCTTAAATAACTTCTTGAGTTACCACACTCTGCTGTGTTACATCAACGTAAGGATTTCTTTAACAGGTAACCTGGCATTACAAGGCTCTTGTTTGTAGAATAAGAGAACTGGCACTCATCCAGTCCATTGTATTATCTGCTCAATTCACACGTTGTCCTTTTCTGGGTTTATAATGACCTGAAAGAAGTGTAACAAGAACCTCCAATGAAAAAAAAGACAGATCGTTCAATTACCCTTTATGGGAACTCGCCCTGTTAAGTTGAATTGTTTATGTTGAAAAGTAGTGTATTTTTTTTTCTCCAATACTTTTTAAATAAACTTGTCAGAAGTGATACAGCCCCAAATCACCCTAACAATACCTCGTCCCCACTTTACCCTTTAATGATATCCCAACCTGTCGTTTAAACCCAACACTGTTTCAAGGAGTACCCGAGAGTGTACTCTTTCTTTCATCTTATCCTTTAATCCCTGCATTGCCCTAATTTTAACCATTAACTTCTACATTACCTTTACACTAACCATTAACCCAACCCTACATTATGAAAAAAAGGGAAGTGGGGGGTAGGAGTGGGGCGGGGGATTGGGAGCACATCCAGAACGTGCACTTCTCAGTATTGGTACTGTCATAGAGACCAAAATATATACAAAATACAGGTTAAGGAACAGCGGACACAAAGTACAGTTTTACATTTTACACGGCTACTTAAAATCACCAATCTCCGCAAACAAATATGGGGATTCGTTTACTCCGCATGGCCATGTTGTGTTAAGCCTACCATTACGTCACAGTACCCAAATATCGGTGGGTCCTACACTAATTTTAACATGGGAAATTAACATGAATCTGGTCTGGATTCTAAATATACAAAAAAAAAAGGGGAATTGTGGGAAGGGGCATTTTTCAGTAGTGGTTCTATAATTATATTTGCATATTTGGTATCCAGAGTAGAATCCTTTTGAGTGCGCTGTTCCTTAATCTGTATTTTATACCGACCCAACAAAACCTCAACATAAGCCTAACCTAAAGTTAGTCTCTTTGGGTTTTGCATATACCTCACTTGAAAAAATTATTTTCTTTCAAAACCTGTGAAAGCGTTATGCTATTAAAATAGTCTTGACGTGACAATTGTGTTTTAATTTTTTGGCTTTCCCCTCAATCAGAGTCAGATATAAAAGAAGCATTGTATATATGAAGTATTGAATGTATTGCTCCAAAATATTATCTAATCATTAACGTCTAGCAGTAAAAAAATACATCAATCTACAACTGGTGGTTAATACATATCTTTTACCTTTACAGTCAATTTGAAATTATAGCTTCATCCTGTTATCACAGTAAAAAACCGACAGATCCCACCTTTATGCTTTAATCAGTACCCTAATGAAATGCAGTTAAAAACCAGCTCAGTCGAGCATGACCAAGAAGAGTTACAGCAGGGATTGCGTGACACTTTAAAAAATGTCCGAGGGCAGATGGAAAGAGAAGAGGATGGGAGAGAAAAAAAGACAATGGACAAGGTCAGCGGTACAATGGACAATGTTAGTAAAGAGAAAAATTATCCCGATGAATCCAAAAGCCAAGAGATATGTTTAAAGACTACCCCAAAGCCAAGAAAATCTCAGGAAACTACCAAATCCTCCAGTGACTTCCGCAGTAAGACACCATCAGTAGCAAACAAGAACAAAAAGAATAAAACCAGAACAAAAGGACTAGATGCACAAGTACCGAGGATGTCTAAAGGTAGTAATAATAAAGAGAATTAAAAAATATTTATAATATTTATCAATAAACACCAAAGGCTTACATCCAGTTTTAAAATATATACATTTTCTATGTTGAAATATTACCCAATACCTATTAAGGTATATATTAGACAGCATTTTTTTCGTTGTTGTTGTTGTTTTTTTTTATATGTTATTGCTAGAATATCTGATTAATAGTTTTTTTGTATAGTTAGTAAATTGCAATTACATTCCAAACATTGGGATATTTCGATATTTTGCAAAATTTGGGTGAAGTCTACCAGAATTGCATAAAAAGTGAATTATAAAGACAGAGATTTGTGAGACCCATTAGAAGGACACAAAAAGACAGAACAATGGTCAGCAGAACAAAGTATGCAAGGATGTCAAATAAAGATGACTTTGTATGACTGTCTCTATCTATCTATCTATCTATCTATCAATATGTCTGTCTGACTGTCCGTATCTATCTATCTATCTATCTATCTATCTATCTATCAATATGTCTGTCTGACTGTCCGTATCTATCTATCTATCTATCTATCTATCTATCTATCTATCTATCTATCTATCACTATGTCTGTCTGTCTGGTATCTGCCTATCTATCTGTGATCTGTCTGTTTACAGAATATTATATAACATGGATTATGTGTACGTGACTTTGATGAATTGAAAAAGAGTCAACTTTCTTTGCTATTGGTGGTAAACCTAGGTTTCCACATAGTTTTGTGTGGAATTATTTTACCATTGGTTTATCTCACAGCTTGCTCCACGTCGGCCACATCTAAAGGCTGCTATTTCCACTGGTCCACATGTGAATCTGGTGAGGACACACAGTCAAAAAGTTTCCCTCAATAAAAACTCTTAGAAAAAACGATAAGACTAGATGTGAAGTAATGCCGACAAGGTGCAACTATAGGAACATGCCCAAATATTTCTCATATTAGTTGCTTTATGGGTGCTCCACCACTAGCCAGGTAGAATACAAATGGAGAGGTCTTCTACTAGTTAAAATTATGAAACATATTCAACCAACAAGTAAAGAGGTTCTCAAACCATGCCAGTGATCCCTTAAATTTCATTAGATTTAATAATTTTGCCAATGGTAATATGTTCTATAGTTTGTTATGTTAGGAAATAATTAACTAAACTATAGTACTAACTTTAAATTCGTTTTTAGTATCACTGGTCAAATTCCTTCAACTTAAATTTTCAGTGTTGATGTCACTGTGGTCTTAGTGACCAGTAATCAGTAGGTTATTTGGTAATTAGTAAGATCATTATCATAATGGTTCCTTTGTTCCTATCATCTTCATAGGGCCAAAGGTGTATTGAATCATGTATAAACCTTGGAGTTGACAGGTACAGTGCTAGTGCAAGGCTTCTCTTAGCAACACTGAGAATGAGTGTATTATTATATACAAGATTATCCCAGGGACAATATGTGGTTCAACAAGGAAAAAAACACCCAGGACAAAATTCTTTAAATTAGGTCAACCCATAAGATATTTGTCCTCATAACCCCTTTGCCAGTCTACACCTGGAGGTATGTTAGATATTAACTGTAGAGTAATTGGAGTTATTGTTTGTGCTATTCCCACATTCAAGGTGATGTGCTATTCTTAATCATCTCAACATCATTAAACCGGTTGATAAAAAAATTGAAGAGATATGTTTCTGGTCAATCTGTGAGTGGAAGGGTTACGAATTGGAACTCTTCGTGCTCTGGGATCTATTAGCAGAGAGGGATTATGTTCAGGCACTTGCTCTATAGTGAAGTGTTAAAGTAGAAATGCAGGAAAAGAAACCAGCTAATCAGCTTTACAGCAGCTAAAGCTCATTATTTCTAAGTCCGATGATTAGAATAAAAGAAAAAAAATGTAGAGCCTTTCCTCATTAAGATATAAGGTGAGTCATCAGACCTCTGCTGTTTACATGCATAATGTTCTAGAGAGATATACTATCTTCAGACACTTTTCACAAGTCTTCATAGGTTTCTGGATTATAAATTTAAAGTCAGTGCTGTTAATTTTAATCAGGGATTTCCAAGTTATTGCACCCGGGGGCCACTGGCCAAGTTGTCTTCTCCCAAAAGGCCACAGATCAATACACACAACTGCATGTGTGCTTGCACACACACAGCTACACACTCCCATACACATGCCCACACATAGCTACACTGTCTTTTATACACATACACACATATCTAGCTTCCTATGAACAAACACACACCCACACCAACATGTTCCCATATATACATGCACACACAATAGGTGACTCACTCCGACACATGCAGCTGCTCACTCACACTCAAAAACAAACAGCAACACATTCCTATACATATACACAATGACATGCTCCCACACTGAGCTACACACTCTCAAATACACAACTACACACTTTGATACACACAAAGTTATACATCCCAAGACACCCAGTCACGCACTACCACACACACACACAGCTACATACTTGATATGCACACACACTGTTGCACCCTACTGTACACAACGCTTTCAGCACCTACATTGTGGCTGGACTCTTAGTAGAGGCTACTGCCATATTTTGTGTGCACCAGCCAGCCTTATCACTGAAGTTCTAGCACTCAACTACAGAATGCAGAACTTTAGTAATGTCTGGTGCTCACAAACACTCCCCCACAGCAGACCAGTCTCTTTAGACATATTAAATAAAGACCCAATTATAGTCCTGATGTGAGATAAAGTGAGGTATGCTGGGATTCAGACTTAGCACTCTAATTAGTGACTGCCCCACTCAAACCAGGGAAGGTGGTGAGGGTCCCATGAAAGCATTTTTTGTGAGGATGTAAATTGCTTGGAGATTGTTCTTTTAGAACCCTGATGTAAATAGTTACTTAATATAAATGTTACCTTTGTGCCAGAATGGGTGTAATTTAATGCTTTGCTCACCCATTCAACATTGAGAAAGTTGTAAGTATGTTAGAAATTATAATGAACATTGTAATGCTATATGTATTTAAATGTAACAGACACAACAATCAGGTCTCATTTGGAAAAGTTTCCTAATATGTAATCTTTGCTTTTTGTGTTGTTTTGGGGCCTTACATATTACATTATGGTATAATTATTAATTAATGTTTCCTAGCGCGTCTGCTTGACTGCTGACCACTCCAACAGACCCCCTTTCTTTTTCTGCTGTACCCATTGATAAACACACAGAAATACATGTATAGTGGATACAGCAATGGCCACCGTTGTTTTTAACCATTGCTGCTTAAAACACCAGCAATTAAGTTACAACAACAACCTGTCAGCTTTAGGGGGATTACCAAATAGACAGATACGCATCACTGAGGCCCATGAGTCCTGTGCAGCCTTCAGCAGACTGTGACTCCCCAAGTTGAGATTGGACAAGAAAACTGCTACTGTTTCACTGCCCTGGCCAGGAATTCCACCACTGGTCCCATTATCACCTAGGGCCTCTACAATGATGTTCCACTATGTCTGGACAGTCCTATCAGGAAGGAAGCAGTCACACTTTCCCCCTCCGGATTTGTCCAGGTAGATTTCTCCACTATGTATTAATGTACAGCATTAGATGCTAGAAACATCATGTAACTTATAATAGTGCATTTGTCAAAAATGACCATTATGATGCCCCGATGCATGGTCTGCATTGTGGATTTTCAGGCAGTTTTGTTTTTAAAATAAAGCATTGTAGTCAGTTTAAGTATAACATTGTTATGTTGAAGCAATTTAAAAAGTTTCATATTCATGATTTTTCAAAAACAGGGGCCACTTTTTTAACCAGTAGATTGTAGACATGGGGAAAAGGTTATATTGTTTGCCTTCATTAAGCTATTGCCAAAAATAGCTATTTCCTAGAATACTCATACCATTCTACATATTGACATATTGGACGTATATAATCTGAATTTATACGGGACCTTGGCTCCAGTACATACTTGAACTTAGGAGCATGAATATTGGTGATGTTGTTTATAATACTGTCTACTAATTAAGCTCTCTAAATTTGAAAATATAAAGCAAACAGTATTCATTTTATACTTTGTGTACGCTTTTCCAAAGGACACTGTTAACTGGGAAATGTCATATCTCAAAATTTTAAATATTATTTTTTATTATGCAAAATAAAATCAGATGTAGAAATAGATACCTATTATCCTGCAACTGGGTACCTCCATCTTAGCTCCCTGTGAGATATTGTTATACACTGCCTCCATATTAGCTCCCTGTCAGATATTGTTATACGCTGCCTCCATCTTAGCTCCCTGTCAGATATTGTTATACGCTGCCCCCATCTTAGCTCCCTGTGATATATTGTTATAAGCTGCCCCCATCTTAGCTCCCTGTCAGATATTGTTAGAAGCTGCCTCCATCTTAGCTCCCTGTGAGATATTGTTATACACTGCCTCCATATTAGCTCCCTGTCAGATATTGTTATACGCTGCCTCCATCTTAGCTCCTTGTGAGATATTGTTAGAAGCTGCCTCCATCTTAGCTCCCTGTGATATATTGTTATAAGCTGCCCCCATCTTAGCTCCCTGTCAGATATTGTTATAAGCGCTGTCCTTTGGTCATGGCAGCCAGATCAGGGAAAGCACACAGAGAAGAGGAGACATGAAACAATATTTTTTCTTCCGCCTTTTCATTTGCAATGTTTGCCTTGTCTGGAATAAATTGTGGTGTGATGTGCTAAAACTTTAATATAAATTTAAGAGGAAATAGAACAGCTCATCAAAAAGTTAAAACAAGTTATATATGATTTTTGATGTTTTGTTAAATTGTGTAAATTCCAAAGAGGTGACAGTTTCTCTTTAACATATGACTAACAGTGTTATTCACTAATGTGAGAATTCAAAGTGAACTCAAAGTGATTTTCACATACAAGGTAAAAGTAGCCAAACTGGAACAAACCTTTAAGTCTACTATGCTTCCAAATTGACTACTTTGGCTTGAAATGTGAAACTTTTAATTCACTTTGATACGTCATTTGAGTGAATTACCGTGTATCAATAGACTAAAATAGAGACAATTTATGACAAACTTACCGTAATTTTCTTTTCCTGGCTATTTCTCATGGCAGCATCACTTATGGGTAGCTCCTTCCTTAGCAGTCACAGGACAGGAATTAATTAGATTAATTAATTAGACTGATAGGTATAAAGAGTCCCTCCTCCCCTTACACCTCAGTCCAATTATAAAGCTGAAAAAAAACGGGTGGGAACCCTGATGCTGCCATGAGAAATAGCCAGGAAAAGAAAATTACGGTAAGTTTGTCATAAATTTTCTCTATTCCTGGCTAATCATGGCAGCATCACTTATGGGTAATACCCAAGCTCACAGAATTATAGGGTGGGAACAATAAACTGAGAAACAGACTCTTATGCTGCAAAGAAAATTTTAATATCAGTGGGATAAAGAAACCGTAGACAGGACACACTTCCCAAAGGAGGTGGAAGGAGAGTCCACATCCAGTTTGTAGTGTTTCAAGAACGTCATTGGGGAAGACCATGTGGTTGCCCTGCAAATGTCATCGTATGGAACCTCTGCCCAACTAGCCCATGAAGTCGACAAAGCTCTAGTAGAATGAGTTCTTATCTTCATTGGAGGAGGTCGACCTTTCGAGACATATGCATTCCTGATAACCAGTGAAATCCAACGTTTCAATGTAGATAATGAAGCCGCTTCACCTTTCCTGGCTCCCGACGGCAAAACAAAGAGTTGGTCAGTTTTCCGGAAAGATTCAGAACACTTAAGGTACAGAGACAGGCAGTTCATGACATCCAAACGTTGCCATCTAACCTCCTCTTGCGAAGAAGGATTGTGGTAGAACGATGGAAGAACCACTTCTTGAGAGAGATGAAACTGAGAGACCACCTTAGGAAGAAACCCAGGTTTGGGCTTCAGGCACACCCTATCATGATAGAATTGTAGACAAGAAGGTAAGGTAGAAAATGCTTTAATCTCCGAAATCCTTCTTGCAGAAGTAATTGCCACCAAAAACAAAGTTTTATGCGTCAGGAGGGTAGCATCCAAACTCTCAAGGGGAACGAACAGATCCTCTGTTAGGTAATTGAGCACCAGAGGAAGGTCCCAAGGAGGTGTGGTAGATCTGGAAGGAGGTCTCAACCTGAAAGCCGCTTTGAAGAACCTGGAGATCAAAGGATCCGAAGTCCAAGATACATTGCACAAAGCTGAAAGCGCAGAGGACTGGACCTTGAGAGTGCTGAGGCTAAGGCCCATATCCAGACCCTCTTGCAGGAACTCCAAGATCTCTGTATTGTGAGGATGCAGGAAATCAACATTCTTGGCTGAAGCCCATTCCCGGAACACATCCCAGATCCTATGGTAGCATGAGGAAGTAGAAGCTTCCCTTGATTGCAAAAGAGTATTGACCACTGCTTCTGAGAGACCTAGTAGTTGAAGTCTTTCTTTTTCAAGACCCATACCCCCAACTTGAGGCGTTCTGGATGAGGATGGAATATTGGGCCCTGCGTTAGTAGATCCTCCATAACAGGAAGAGGCCAAGGTCGTTCTTGGCTCATCACAGACAATAGGGGGAACCACGGCCTCCAAGGCCAAATCGGAATTATGGCAATCACCTTCATTCCTTCTGACCAAACGTTCCTTAAGAACCTGGGTATCATGGGTAGGGGAGGGAACGCATACCCCAGATCGAATGACCAAGGAAGAGAGGCCCAATACCTGACTGTCCGGGTGGAGGGAGAAGTAATTCTCCACCTGATGATTCCGGGAGGATGCCATCAGGTCGATCTGGGGCATGCCCCACCGACGGGTAATCCATGCAAAGACTGCCGGGTGAAGTTTCAATTCTCCTGGAAGAATTTCCTTTCTGCTGAGAAAGTCCGCAGTCACGTTCTCCGAACCTGGAAGATAGATCGCCTTCAGACCTTGTAGATTGGTCATGGCGATCGTCATCAAGGGAGCCAGCTCCTTCAAGAGCAATCTGCTTCTCGTGCCACCTTGATTGTTCACATATGAAGCCACCACTTGGTTGTCTGTTTTGATCAGCAACCAAGAATTCAAGATCCGTGGTAGGAACACCACGATGGCTCTGGTAACAGCTCTCAGTTCTCTTAGATTCGAGTGTAGCTGACTCTCCTCTTGGGTCCACTTCCCTTGAGTCCATGCGGTGTCGAAGAGGGCACCAAAAGAACTGGCATCTGTTGTAATAACCTTCCAAGGAGGTTCTTCCAGTGGGAAGCCTGTTGCTAAATTCTTCTTGTTCTTCCACCAGGTCAACCCTTTCCTCACGGGTAGGGGTAAGGAGATCCTTTGCTCCCAATCTGTTCCCACTCTGTCGAACTGGAGAAGGAAGTAATTCTGGACTGGATGAAGCTTCCACTGGGCCCATTTCACCAATCCTATAGTTGATGTCAAAGAACCCAGGAGACTCATAACTTCCCTTGCAGAGGCAGTCTCGAGACTTTGTAGCTTCCCTACTTTGTCTCTGATTTTCGTAACCCTTTCCGGAGATAGGAACACATGGGCAAATATGGTGTTTATCACTGCTCCGAGGAATACAATCATCTGAGAAGGAATCAGGGAGCTTTTCTCCATGTTCAGAAGCCAACCATGGTCTTGAAGAACTTTCATCGCCACCAAAGTGTGATGAGCTACTATCCCGTGAGATGGACCTATGATAAGGATGTCGTCAAAGTAATGGAAGATCTCGATACCTTTCTCCCTTATGAAGGCTATTAAGGTGACAAGGTGACTTTTGAGAACGTTCTTGGCGCCAAGCTAAGGCCAAACGGAAGACCCCGGAACTGGAAATGCCTTCCTAGCGCCCAGAACCTGAGAAACTTCATATGTTCGTGGTTTACAGGGATTTGGTAGTAGGCGTCCCTCAAGTCTATGGAGGTCATCCAGTCTCCTCTTTTGACACTCGTCAAGATGGACCGTAAAGATTCCATTTTGAACATTCTTTAGTTGAGCATGGAGTTTACACCCTTCAAGTTCAGGATGAGACGCCACTTTCCCTGGGGTTTTGGGGCCAAGAACACTGTGGAGTAAACCCCAAGGAATCGTTCCTGTCTTGGAACTTCTTCCACCACTTTTTGGTCCAGAAGAGTAGAAATGCAGGTCCTCATGGCCCTCCGTTTGATGCCTGCTGACACTGTAGATTTTATGAAGAAAGCGGTTTTTGGGCGAGAGGAAAACTCTATCCTGTAACCTTCCTTTACAATAGATGTGACCCACACGTCCGTAATGTTCTTGGCCCACACGGGGTAGAAGAACTTTAGTCTTCCTCCCACAGTCCCCGAATGGGCCTGAAGACCTTCAGAAGCTCTTCTGAGGGGTTCGGGCCCCTCTTCCCCTGGAAGCCTTATTGGAAGAAGAGTGTGAGAAGGATTTCCATGAGGAATTTCTGGAATACTCCCTTCCTGGTTTATAGCTTCTGCTGTCCCGAAAGGACCGATCCTTGAAACGCTTATTCTTCCAAGAGGAGGTAAAGCTCTTCCTGCTAACTTGAGGCAAAAATTCTTTTTTCCCCTCAGCAGCTTTTTGAATAGCGTCCTCCAGGACCTTGCCAAATAGGAGATCCCCCTGGAACGGAAGGCCACATAAGGACGTCTTGGAGACATAGTCCGCTCCCCACGAATGAAGCCACAAGGCCCTTCTAGAAGCCACAGACAGGGCCATACTCTTGGCAATCATGCGAGTGATCTCTAGAGAGGCTTCTGAACAGAATTCCGTGGCTAGATTAAAGTCTCTGAGGCTCTCCAACAGATGTTCCCTACGGACACCCCGATCAATGTCCTCCTCCAAATTTGTGAGCCACACTCTTAAGGCCCGGGAGAGAGTGGTCAGAGCCACTGCTGGGTGAAGGGTGGAGCCCAGGGCCAAGTAGGCTTTAATCAAATCACCATCCAAACGCTTTTCCATAGGCTCTCTGAGATATGCCATGGAGTCAATAGGAAGCGTAGTTTTCTTTGCCATATGGATCACGGCAGCATCAATCTTAGGAACTGAATCCCATAGGCAGCAGTCCACGGCAGAGAAAGGATAGATCCTTGTGAATTTATTTTTCAATGTGGATTTCCTTTTAGGCTTATTCCATTCTTGGACGATTATGTCCCTGATAGAGGAATGCACCGGGAAGGTAGGTCTATTCAGTTTTAGGTCCTCAAAGAATCTGTTAATACAGACTTTTCTTCCGTGAGACTAAGAGTGTCATTGAGAAGGGTAATAAGCCTATCAATAGACTTCGAGTCAAGAGACCTGGAGGTATATTCAATTTCCTCCTCACCATCATCCGAGACCTCCCATACATCAGGGTCTTCTCCAGAGCTGGAAGACTGAGGTTCCGCTCTGCGTCTCTTACTCGGCCCACTAGACACCGTGGTGGACTTAAAGCCCTCAGCAATAGCTTGGGAAATCCAGAGCTTAAGGTCGTCTTGTGGGGAACCCCCACTGGGGGCATGTGCCGCTTCCAATAAGCATTCCCTGCAAAGGTTCCTCCCATGTGGAGCAGGTGACGAACAATTGATGCATTTGTTGGACTTTTCCCTTGATTTTCTCGCTGGAGAACCCAGATGCTTGCTAGGGCTGAAGTAAAGCCATATATAAACATATATTACAGGCTTAGCTTGGCACTCTTTTAACAACCCCCCACAAAAAAAAAATCAGTGGCTCACCTATGTTTTCTAGAGAGGGATCTTGCAGAGGCAGAGGGAGAATCCATACTACAAACGAGAATGAAAGGAAAGTCAAAACACCATTCCCAATAAAAAGGACCAGAGGCAAACTGACAAGACACACAGAAGAACTAGTAATCATACCTTAGAATGACAGAAAAAACCTACAGGCAGCCAAGAACAACAGCAAAGGAAGGACTGCAGAGCAACCAGGACTAAAGGTGCAGCAGAACAGCTGATGCAGAGCACAGGCAGAGTGCCTGTATCAATCAGTTTAAATAGAGCCGGGAACGCCGGTCTGTGCATGCGCAGGCCGCTGGAACGCACGCCATGCGTTCCAAATGCTCGCGGACCGGAAAAACATCACTTCCGGTTCACCGGCCGGTCGTGACGTCACTTCCGCCTGCTGGAACGCACGCCGCGTTCCAGCCAACCACGCCGGCCATACCAGGAGCCCCCAGGTAACAACCCAGGGAACCTCTGCTTCAGCAGAGAGGGACAGACCCCCAGGAATCCAAGACAGCAGTACCAAGTAAGCAAAACAGGCTCCCCCACAGGAGGAGTCCCATAGTATGGATTCTAAACACTGCCACCAATGCCACGGGGGGTAGGGGGGGATATTTTAGACCGCAATTTCTAGGGGCAAGACAACAGCAAGGGTGATTTTTAAGGAGGACCAACCCCATATTAACAGATTACCTGTAGCTGTGTTTCCCTCAGAATACCAAATCCCACGCAGCAGTTCAGTACTTACACTGAACCTGACCCAGTTAGTCCTGCTCATGCAGGCTGTTTACTCTGTCCTTCAAATGAAGAGAGGCTGAACTTCACTTGGAATGAACCCACGACAAACGCAGGAAGGTGGCCAGAAAACAAAATCTAAAAGGTCCTGTAGAACTTGCTAAGGACAGGAAAAAAGACTGAGGTGTAAGGGGAGGAGGGACTCTTCATACCTATCAGTCTAATTAATTAATCTAATTAATTCCTGTCCTGTGACTGCTAAGGGAGGAGCTACCCATAAGTGATGCTGCCATGATTAGCCAGGAAATGTATATTCCATACCATATCTGACAGCCATTAAATTAAATTAAATGTTTGACGTTGCTGTGCTTTGTTTACCGTTTGGTGAAATGTAATGACTCTGACTATATTCCACTTTTAGTTATATAGTCTATAGGATTGCTGTGAATTATCATGTGTGGGGACATTTAAAGTCACTTTTGCCACATTTCCTGCTGCCTAATGGAACAGTAATATTTTGTTGTTTTGGCCTTTGAAGAGTGAGATTTTTTTCATCCTTCAAAGATCTCTAACCTATTCTTTCATATATGATATGGCCTCCTTATTATATATTCCTCGCTGCTAAACTTGGTCTCTGTTAACGCACAGATAGGGAAATATTGATTCATATTTAAAATTAAAATCTGCCTAAAACATGTGTCTGTCACCCCTTAATTCCACATACAGAACAATGCTTTTTAAATTTTTTTAATTTTAATGTACCCATTTTAGGCATGAAATGTTTTGTATGCCGATGTGTTCTGTGTGATAAATTTGCTTTCTGTAACCTGTGTTGTGTATAGTATTTCCACTTCAGGAAGACTCATTTACACACAAAGTGAAGAAGACAGCTGTATCAGACAGGCTTACTGGGTGACTAATGCCTGCGATGTATGCAAAGCACACATTAATCAATGCCTCTGTCTGACAAAAATGCAAATGTACAAGATATTTAATGAGGATAGACCCGAGGTTCGACATTGTGTAAACCTCTTCTAAAACAAACCATATCCTTTTTAACACCATAAACTTATATTCGAGTCACAAAACGAATGCAACATTTTGGTCAAAATGGGTAGGCTGGGGGTAAATCGACTGAGCTAGTAACATGTCTGTTTTGGACTAAATGGTGCAAATCTGTTACTAACTCACTGCAACAAGCTGTAGTAAACCTTGAATATAACTGGCATCTTTATACAATGTCTCTACATACAATGTACATAATGTCTGGTGGTTTCCTTTCTACACCTCTGGGCACAACAACAGTCTACGTCTGATAAGTATCTCCAGTGGAACACAATTAGAAAATGTCTTTATCCTGGACTGTTGGTATGCCTTGGGGACTAGGTTGGGAATGACTATGTAATTGTGTTCAGATTTAGTGAAATAAAAATGCTACTAATGCAGAGGAAACTGAACCATTGTGCTACAAATGTGCTAACTCCAGTTCGGTCCAAGTCTTAAGTCACACACAAAGCCATCTATTTGACACTCCTGAGCTCCATCCAGTGGTCATCTTGAGTGCTGCAAGACAGATAAATCTAGATTAGCACTAATATAGTAACACACAAAGGCCTTTACACTTTTATATTTTTGAATACGCTTTTCAAGTGATTTAATATTTTTTGGGATAAACTAAATTAACTAAAAAAAATATTAAAATATCAAAAACTAAATCAAAATATTAATTCATTTTTAAAAGATTAGCCCAAAAAAAAAAAAATATTTTGGAAAATTAATCTTAAATTATTAAATTAAGCCAAACCTCATTCAAATAAATGTATGATTTATTTTATTAACAGTTACCTGCAGTAAAATGATTGCACACTCTTGCTCATCTACTCATCTTCCCATACAAACACCATTATCTTACTTTAATAACAGTCCGAGATCAACAATCATTGCCATTGTTGTTTTATTATAACCATGTATTGTCTTTTGTTGACTTTAGCTTAGAGTTCTAGGATGGATAGCTACAGAGCTGCTAACAAGCTGGCACAAGCAGATATACAAGTTGATGAATAACCTCTCTTGAGCGCTTTTGTTCTTTCAGTGTGCAAAGGTGATGGTGTATTTTGCATTTATCTTATCTCTTGCTTCACCCTGAACAGCTGGATGTGAACCGTCTAATTCAGACCCTTTGGATGAGCCAACAAATGAACCTTCCTCACCAACCCAAAGAATTTCCATGGAAACACCCGGTTTGGCAGAGAAGAAGATGGTTGACCCAAAGGGTCCAGGTCCTTTTTTTTATATAGGAGGCAATAACGGGGCCCAGCTGTAAGTACTTAAAAATTATGTTTAAAATGGTGTTTAATTTCTGATTCTCTCCGTAAAACCCTCAACCTTCATAGAGAGTCAGCAATTTACAGAATATTTTCCACTTTTAAACCAAGGTTGAGAAAAATGCATATTCCTGGACTAAACCTTAACTCCCATCAAGATAAGCCATATTACATTACTCTACTACCATGATTCCAACATCATATGTTGAGGACAAAATTGTAATGCACCTTAAATTATTGTCACAATAGAAAAAACAGTAACGTTTGTGTACGAATGCACGGACTAATTTATATTCGAATCTCTTAGTAATTCCAAAATATAATTTATAGTCACTGTTCCACATAAAATACTACTAGCATACATAAGAAAAGAGCAAATAAATGAATCTGTTCTGTATGCTGCTTGCAACAGTATTTTATTTATGTAATATGTATCTAATGTTATTCACGTAGAACCCTCTTTGGGTTTTCTCTACAAACTCCAGATGAGGGTGTGAAGGGTGTCAGAATATCCTCTAATTCACTACACAGTATTCAGATCTGAATTTCACAGATCACATAAGATTAATTGCCATAAATATTTATGTCTATCTTAAGGGTACACTATAGATGCCCAGACCACTTCATCTTATTGAAGTGGTCTGGGTGTAGTGTCCCTGTCAATATGGCGCTGCAGTTGCAAACATTGCAGCCACTAGAGGCGCTTCCTCAAGCTTCACAGAGTTTGACTCTGTGAAATGCTGTGCATGAGAATGCTCAATGTCTTCATAATCCCCATGTGACGGAACACCGTCACCTAGTACCATGCCCACATGTGCCCACTCACTTGCCTGCTTATTGTTTTCAGGTCATCATGCTGGGGATCTCCCCTTGTTTGCAAATCATGTTTGGGCTTGATTGGAAGATTGTGCTTTTCCTATTCTAAATGTGATAAAAATGAGGCTTGAGTATTAATTTGTGGGTAGGTATTAATGTCTCTTTTGGATATGATATTGAAACACAAGGGTTTGTTTGTTATTGAATGCTAGTGTTTATTAACATATCAAAGGACTTCCAATCTAATTGGCGGAGGTAACCAGTAGGGGTACCAGGCCGTCCGCCACATCCCATATGAAAGAATTGATTCAATGTTTTCCTATGGGGAGGCGTATGCACACTTGTTGCTCACTGCGAATGTGCATTAGGTCCCCCTGTTGGCTGAAGTTGGAGCAAGCGGATCTCCCATCAAGCGAGGGACCTTGGCACTGGAATCAGTAAGTGTAACATTGTTTATAACCATTTATTTGCCACTGGGGGGCTGCGACGGGGAGGGGGAGGCAGAGAGACACTATAGTGTTAGGAATACAGTTTTAAATTTCTTACACTATAGTGTTCCTTTAACTGGAAATAGCTAAAAGTTGTATTCAATTAACTGACTACTGACTATCTGTTATGCTTGAAAGGTTAGTATCTCTAAAAAAGCTATTTAATGCTTTGCTAAATCTGCACCTTGCATATTAATGAACAGGACAATGCACGTGTAAGCAAGCATATAAGATGTCTATGCTGATGTGTATCATGCTTTTAGAAATCACCAGATTTTTTATCATATGATTAAGCCTTATAAACAAAAGAAACAGTCTAAAATGTTAAAAGAATTACCGATTGTATTTTGGAAATTCAGTTTGACGAAATCACTACATCTTAAAAAAAAAAAAAAAAAAAAAAATTATATTTTTTTTAGGTAGTCCGATAGATAGGCATCTTCTGAATATTGTCCATGCAAAATAATCGGGAAATAATTAAATATTATGTAAATATTTAGCAGTACATTGATAGGAGCATTCTCAGTATTCGGTTCACAGATCGAGTGAGCAAAAGTAAGCAATACAGAGAAAAGGAGGGGGGCAGTAAAATGAACAAATCTCGATTCACATATTATATATTTTTTAAATGTATAATGTATAAATATACTAATACATAAGTAGAGATTTTTAGTAGTTACTTCTCATTTGATCTGTGTATAAAATCAACACATAAGGGCTGCCCCCTAGCAATCAATAATTTTTTTCCCTCATCAATTGTCTTTTTAGTTCTGAACGCCAAATCACGAATCAAGTGAAAATGTTTGTCTATTGTATGAGCCATTTGCTCAGTTATATGTCCATATGGTACTTCGAATTTACTGAATTCAGATGACCTGTCTATCAGTCTAAATTCAGACACATTGTGCCAAATATGGCCAAAAACAAGTGTACGGTTCTAGTACGTATGATATGGGTAATATTAACCTGTCATCATAGTTATCTATTTAACGTGAACCTGTCACCCTGACTCTTGTCATGACTCTTTTATGTACTTGTTCCTCGGTTATGATTAAGGGCAGTGAAGCCCAGAATGCATAAGGTGTTTGTTCATCCTGTCCTGTTTTGTCCTCCACTGTATCTGCCATATAGCATTTCAAAAAAATACAATAAAAATTTCCATTTTATACATTGTTTTGTGAGCCTCATATTACCCCCAGAGCAGTGGGAAATTAGATTTTTAATATTCAGGTTTACTTTAGACATTGTATCTCCACAAGGAGAATCTTAGAATCTAAGCACCATAACCACTCAAGCTCTATGTAGTGCAGTATCTGTTTTTTTTAGCATCTATTCCAGCTACAGAGCCTGACTTCCCCTGTCAGATGCCAAGGGCTCAGCAGGGTGGGAGGTTTACTGTCCTGCAAAAGGTTCCTCTTAGACTTAGACCATCCAATGTTTGTTTGGTTTCTTACCATTCTCAGGTTAACCCAGCTGTTCCGTTTGCCTTTAGAAATAATAAGTAAATAATAAGTAAATCACCTCCTCCCATCAAAGAGATATGCAACCCACACGATCCAAAAGTTTACTACACAGGGCATTTGTAATTCAAGATCTCTCTCCATGGTAACATGGAACTATGTGTTTCTAGCGATCACTCATATGGTCTATATACAAAAAAATGTGTTCTTAGAATTCACATTATTCCACATACCGAACTATGTCAATAAGCAGCTTGGATTGTGAACAAGCATCGAAAAGACCTTTTTCTTTATTATTAATTTTTTTAACATTTTAATTTTTCACTTAAATTAAGATGTCAGCCTGCTGAAACCAACAAGCTGTGAATTAACAGCAATTTTTCTTTCAATCGATACACGGCACGCTAATATTGATTAAACTTGCTGCCTACTTGTAATTGACAGGGAGCTGGGCTAATATTGGTTCAATCTGTTGCCTGCTCACAAATGCTAAACATTAAAATTGATTTAGCATGCTCCATGCTGAGATTGTCAAACAGAAATCTCTGTGCATTCACATCCACATTCACCTTACCCACCTTTACACCTATGTTATTCACATCTAAACACCAGCAAAACCTAGCTACCATATTGGGTGTATCTCCCCATGACATATTTCAGCAATGTGACTGATCTAAACATTTATTTAATTTTATTTTGAAAACAAAGTGTATGTTTTATTTATGTGGTATATATGGAATTGTTCGCAAAATAAACAATTCCCAATATACAAAACTCAATTCTCAAGTGAAATTGAGACATATTATTGTATAAATATGTTGAAATTCATTTGTGATTGATCTGGATATTTGTCCTATAACATAATTTGTGTAGGACAACATTTTCCACTTGCAACTCGACTTTGACAAGTTCAAAATTGTTATCAATAGTGATGTCCCAAACGGTTCGCGAACGGTTCGCCACGGACTCATCATTCCAGCCAATCGGCAGCAGACCCTCCCTCCCAGACCATCCCACCTCCTGGACAGCTCACTAAGAATGCAGCTTCAAAATGGATGCTGTCCAGGAGGTGGGAGGGTCTGCTGCTGATTGCCTGGAATGATGAGTCCGTGGCGAACCTTTCGGCGAACCGTTCGCGGCAAACCGTTTGCGAACCATTCGGGACATCACTAGTTATCCATTTATAGATGTTCAGTTAGTGTTTCTGAGACACAGAGGTTTTGCTCTCCAACATTCCTTATCTCATGCTGTTAAGTTTTTGTAATATCATGCTGACGTCAGTTATAAAAGTTTAGCACCTCACTAAGTAGATATGCGTGCTGCAAGTTACCACTGTTGTACACCTGGTGTCTCTGATTAACCAGATACAAGAAAACCCAATTACGCTGCTATGTTAATTTTATCAATCATTGTTAAGGCCTGGTGAGGCTGTTATCCAATAAATGTTTGTCAAAGTCATCAAGGCCCTATCTATCTTCTTAATTTTTATTAAAACAGCATTGGTACCATACTACACATTAGTTTGGAAAAAAAGACTTTGATATATATCTAATTTGGGTCGAATGACAAAAAAGTAAAGAATATATATGACTAAAAATAAAAGATAAAAACAGTATTTCAATCTGTCACTTTTCAGTATTTCATAAAGATATATTCTTTATATAGCAATGCCAGTAGAATGGGATGACAGAAATGAAATTCAAACTACCAGGTAGTCAGGTAGCTTCGGAAAAAAAGGAAAACAGAGCTTCGATTAACAAAGATACAAAACCAGCTGTTGACCCAGAGTCTTCAAATGTGAAGGAACACAGCAATCCATTGCTGCCCAGTCACAAGAAAGGCCCCTACAAATGGAAGCAAAAAATGGGAGACTTTAAAAAAATGTGGGTGGACAACCATGTCCTCTTTTTTTTCCCAACTATGGTCAGTTGGTGGGGGCTAATTTTTAAATGGTGGGCCCTATTGACTTTACCAGCCATCATTTATAGGCAGCGGATGGTGGCCCTAATTATAGTATAAGGGAGAGATCTAGTGTCCCCCCCAACCCCATCCGTGAGTGGTTTGTGAAGGGTTAAATTAAATATACATTAGAGAACCTAGTGGTAGTAGTAGTGCACCCGTACCATCACCCTAGGAAGTGAGTGGTGGCCATAATTAAATATACAAGGGGGTGGACATGACAATAATTCTCCCTCAGGGGGAATTAGGAAAGTAAACTTACCCCCTACCTGCCTCCTTCTTACTGTAATAATAGAGAGAGAGGAGCAGTAAAAATAATTTTGTAAAAAAATATTAATCATCTTCTTTCTTCTTAGTCTTATTTTTTTAACCCACAAAAATAGCCATAATTAAATGCATAATAACGCAAATAAATATATATTGAAATAAAAACACTCAATTTGCCAAAAAAACCAAACAAACAAAAAAAAAAAAATCTCAATTGAACAAAAAATAGATCAATATTCATCTTGTGAGGGCTCCATGTAAATTGAGTTTCAAAGTGGAAAAAAGGCGTTTGAAAGGCCTTCACAGGCTTTGAATTCTCATTTGCGTGCTCTGCCTGGTGTTTAGTGAATTTCTCTGGTAGTTATGAGGGGTAGTGGATACTTAAAGGAGAACTGTCACCTGAACAATATTTTTTAATATAATAGTCCTTTTATTAAGATTTGAAAGGAAATAGATTCTTTGTTAAATTAAGTATTTGTAAATAAATGACAAAACCACATCCCTACGGCAATTGGCAACATACATGTGTCTTCGGTCAGACAGTGTTTCAATTTGACAGTAAATCGGTCTGATGATGTCACTGTACTGTGCAGGGAGTGAAGCAGGAAAGACTATAGAGACTTTATAGAGGTTTTCAAGCACTGCCTGGCACAAGGTGTATGTATAGGTGTATGTATATGGCTGACGGATCCTGTCATATACTAAAGGTAGCGGTGACTATTTCCTCATTTTTTTTTACATATACTTAGCTTTTCAAACCGAAAGAGTCATTATATTAAAGGGACACTATAGTCACCCAGACCACTTCAGCTCAATGAAGTGGTCTGGGTGTCAGGTCCCTCTTGGGTTAACCCTGCCTGATGTAAACATAGCAGTTTCTGAGAAACTGCTATGTTTACATCTTGGGTTAAGCCAGCCTCTAGTGGCTGTCTTCCACTAGAGGCTCATCGGCAATGCTTGAGCCAAATTATGCCGCAATCACGCAGAGCGTCCATAGGAAAGCATTGAGAAATGCTTTCCTACGGACACTTTGAATGCGCGCGCGGCAGTGCCGCGCATGCGCATTCGGCGCCGGTGACGTCAGACAAGGATGCTGACGTCGGCGGCGGAGGAGAGGTAAGGGAGCCTGGCAGGGGAAAAGGGTGAGTAGCTGAAGGGGTTTTATCCCCTTCAGCGCTGCAGGAGGGGGACTCTGAGGGTGGGGGCACCCTCAGGGTACTATAGTGTCAGGAAAACCAAGCGGTTTTCCTGACACTATAATGTCCCTTTAAAAAATAATGTTGAGATAACAGTAGTTCTTTAATTATTATTGCTATATTTAAAAAATGAAGAATAAATAGATTTGCTACATAAAGCCACCACTTTTTATTTCCAATTCCAATTCTAACCTGCAGAATGTTTCTTTTTTTGTTTGTTACAATTGTTCAGCTGTACATAATATTATCCTCAGAGACTGTATAGACGGTGTTAATACATACAATATAAATCAAGTGACTGTATCTGCACAGAGCTTCATTTATTACGAGCAATAGCTTTGTACAAGTTTTTTTTTTTTAAGAATAAATAAAACCTGAGGGCAGCACAGTTTTCAGTAAAAAGATTTACTACGACCTTCAGAAACTTCTACTATGCTCTTAAGACATATTTAGCAATTCCATAGGAAGCTCCCTGTAATTTGCAGCAAAAACAGGAAAGTTAAAGGTGATTTTTTAAAAAACATTTTTATCCTCACCTTTTTTATAATGAGTTATCTAAATAAAAGGATATTCTATTGCGTGGTGCATCCCTTTAAATAATCATTTCCGGCAAGCGTATTTATTTGCTTTTAAACCATCTCTGCAGAAAGGTTTCTTTAATAAATACATCTCTATGTGTCAAACTTCCAACTATAAATCGACCAATAAACATGAACGTTCTCTGCACATAACTGAGGACAAAGCTCCCTCTACTGTTCACAAAAGGTAAAGCAAGTGCATAGTGACTTTCATTTACAGAATCCCTTGCTCTTCAACACAACAAAATCAAAATCATTTAATGCACGTACTAACTGAGACCTTAAAATTGACTAAACTGAAACAAAAATGTACTATATGGTATAGATTGTAATATTTCAGTTTCAGTTTTACCACCAAAAATCAAACTTTGTTATGTTACATTAAAACCCCTTCAGTGAATTACCTGAATCCAGCGCCAATGTAGGCTCTGCCTACTCTCCTCCCCCGCTGACGTCAGCTGGCGGGGAGACCTAATGCGCATGCGTGGCAATGGCCGTGAATGCGCATTAGACACCCCCCATAGGAAAGCATTATTTAATGCTTTCCTATGGGGATTTTGGCGTCGCTGGAGGTCCTCACATAGCGTGAGGACGTCCAGCGTTGTTTAAAACACTTTTCGTGTTCTATGAGGAGAACTTAACCCTGCAAGGTAAATATTGCAGTTTATGAAAACTGCAATAATTACACTTGCAGGGTTAAGAGTATTGGGAGTTGGCACCCAGACCACTCCAATGGGCAGAAGTGGTCTGGGTCCCTGGAGTATCCCTTTAACAAACTGCAGTTTATTTATTAATACATTTTAATCAATTTAAAATATGCACATAGTGGCAAAAAAAAAACAAAAAACAGTAGCTGTGGGTGAAGTTAAAAGATGGAGGGACATTAACCTCTATCCCTTGAAATGGACTCTGTCCCCGGACATGTTAGGTTCTGTCCACTTAACCCCTGGTACTCGACCTACCTTTCTTGCATTTGGCAAACAAGTGGTACATTTAAGACCTATCTTCTAGGGTGCACAGAGTTTAATAGTCCAGAAAAGCTAAAGGGTAACATAGGAACTTCTGTTAGAGCAGACTATGCATGTCTATGAAGTCTATACCCAAAAGCAACCATGCTTGCGTGGTGTTTTGCTGCGCATGTGCATTAGCCTCCCAATGTTCTCCAATTAAAAGCATTGCATTGACGATATGGTCTAATTTGATGATCACTTTCTTTTCAGAGAATGGTGGTTTTAACACTATAGGGTCAGGAATACATGTTTGTATTCCTGACCCTACATACATGTTTGTATTCCTGACCCTACATACATGTTTGTATTCCTGACCCTATAGTGTTCCTTTAAGCAATGCTCAAACATCTTAACTACACCTGTGAAAAGGGAACCAAATATATGAGACTGCATGATTTGGCCTTCACCTGGGTATATATAAACTGTCTGTCATACTATATATACGATATTGTGGTGGCAGTCTATGTCTGCTATTTCAGTATTCCTTGACCCTGATTTAAATTAATTATCTCAACCCTCACCAGTGATGTGACTGTGATCTACCGAAATGTGGATCTATCATGACACAGTATCCTGAATTTTTTTTTTAAATAAAGGTATCAGTCCATACATCATGCTAAGCTCTTCCCCTAGTAAAAAAAAAAGAAAGAAATGGTCCAACGTGCGTTTTGGTGCTCAATGATGCACCTTCATCAGAGAGAAAAATAGATCCAGTATAAAATGATATGATAAATATATAAAGCAAACAGAAGTAGTATTCTGAGAATTCAAAGAAAAACAAGATAATGGTGTAATTCTAGAATATTTGACTTTGTCTCCCCAGGGTTCTTGCTCAAAGGACAGAATGATGGATTGTCGCACTAAAATAAAGCTTTACCTTCTGGGAATTTCTGAATATTGAAAGTCGTATTTATTTATTGTTTGGAACAACCTGTATTTTTTTTCTGTGCCAGGGTGTGCATTTACCTATAAACATTTATATATTTGAAATAGATGACTAGCAGTTAAAGTAATTCACTTTTCTCTTCACCTTGAATTTATTTAATAACATGTAACTGTACATTTGTATATGAAATTACAGATTTTATTCTAAAATCTTTCGTTATTTTAATTGCCAGCTTCATAATTTCGTAATATAGAAAGAACCGGACTACAACGGCTCCACCAGTTATATCAAAATGGAGAGGTCGTCCAATTTGCATAACTCCAACAAGGCAATCACTTAACCCCTGTGGATTTTTTTAGATATGTTCAGATCCGCGATTTTGCTAGAAGACCACACATTAAAATAGCAGTCTTGGAAAGGCTAACCTTCTATGAGAGGCTTTGCCTGAATGGGGCAGCCCCCAAGGGTATGATCACGCTTTTATAGGCCCACCTTAGGCAGAAAATGGAGAATGGGGAAGACTGACATATACAGATCAATGGGAGATGGACCTCGGGGAGGTCTTGGAGGGAAGTGAGTGGCAGGAGATATGGGAGGCGAATGCCACCGTTTCAATATGTGATACTCTCCAGGAGCAAGCATGGAAAACCATGCTTAGGTGGTATACCACGCCAGTAAAACTATATAGAATGCACAAAATGGACACTGATGACTGTTGGAGGGGTTGCGGAGCCCGAGGAGCATACATCCACATGTGGTGGGCCTGCCCGAAGTTATGTAGCTTCTGGAAGTCCGTGGAGGATCTTTTGAAACAGACGTTTGACCGTCCCCTGGGTATGGACCTGTTAAATAGATCACTGGACGGATGGACTAGGAGAGAACAGAAATTAGTACATAAGATAACTCTGAGCGCACGCCGTGCAATAGCAACTGCATGGTTCTCACCAGAGGGCCCAGAATTCCTGGGGGTAATATCTAGGATCAGAGAATGTAGAATTATGGATGACTTGACAGCGAGGGTAAGAGGGACGACATCGGTATTTCAAAAAATTTGGGAACCATGGGACAACAGTTTAGTGGTATTGAGCGGAGACTGATAGGGCCCTTTTTTTGGGGAGGGGGGGTCAGACCCGAATTAGAAAGACCCCTCCTTAAGAGGGATACAATTATCGCGCTGTCATTGCAGGGGTCTCTGCCCTCCCCCCAGCCACCCCTTCTCACCTCTTTGCTCACCCTTGCTTGGCTATATATTTTCTTTCTCTTTCTTTTTCTTAGAATTTCATACCTTTTCTGTCTGCTCTGTTTTTGTTCTTCTTTTTTGATCATGCTGTCGGTGGAACAAGGTAGCACATGAGTAAGATTAGTTATTGAATAGAATGGGCTACTTATATCGCCTAAATGCCTGTCCTTGTTTAAAATAAAAACCCTCAGTAGACGGCAGGTGCCAATGGTTTTTAAGGAATGGGCATGTATTGTAATTGTTGAACTGCATTATGTTTCCAAGAATTGTATTCAAGTTGGCTTCTGTGTAAGCCCAAAAGTGGTTGTACGCTTGCTATATCTATTGAGTGAAAAATAAAGAATAAAAAAAAAAAATAATAATTGCCAGCTTCATTATCTGCAATCTGCCATGTATGCTTAAAAACATCTTCTCCAATTATAAGAAACCACGAGGGTTCTTTTTCTTTACAAAGCAGATATTTTAACCCATAGGATTTTTTTAAAATTTAAAGTTACTTCTTTTAGTCACAAGTAGTGAAATAAAATTAAGTTAGGTCAATTTAGAAAATGTTGGACGTGAACAAAGATTAGGAGAATCTGTATATAAGTAGATGCACATTTCTATGTATTTAAACAATTTCAAAGTATTTATAAATATATTTAAAGATATACGGATATGTTGCTGCCTTAAATCCTGTCCGTTTCTCAATTTACTTTTATTTAAAGAAAGAACACTGCATAAATTATAGACGAGCATCATGATAACTTTGCATCATTGTAATGTTGTTATGGTACAGAGAGTAACATTGCTCCAGTAGCCATGCTAGAATGACTTAGAACTGGAGAGATCTGAAAAAACCTGCTCCAGCCTAAACATTGTTTCAATAAGTGATATGAAAGGAAAAATTCCCCATTTACTACCCAAAATGCATATAACTGTGCAGCATTAATTCTCACTTGTGTGCGTTGCACATTTGTGTCATGCGCGATTTGGAAGGACATGTCTTCTCTCTTCCCTATAGCTCTGCTGATATTCTCCCTATTGCGCTATTGGAGTCCAGTATGAATCAGGTGTAAATGAGGAATCTGCCACCAGGAATGATAGGCAAGAGTTGGGGTTCCTTGGGAGGAGAAAACTGGTGGGAAGTCTGCAGAAAAACAAGATGCTGGAGAGGAAGAGAAAATGTAAAAGGATGGGAAGACAAAGATACATGGAAAAATGTGTGAGAGGGCACACATGGAGATGACAGAACTGCAAACAGGTCAAAAGGGAGTAGATCATGCCAGTCATTGGGTTTATAATCTTGAAGTTGGAAGGAAGTGGCTGGAGTGAGTGGAGTGGAGTGGAAGCAGTGAATACTGGACCATAGCTATGACTTATGTTTGACTTTATGTTTCCAAGTTGCTAAGATTAATCTAGTCTGATTCCACCCGATGATGATTAAAGGACCACTATAGTGCTAGGAAAACATACTCGTTTTCCTGGCACTATTGTGCCCTGAGGGTGCCCCCACCCTCAGGGTCCCCCTCCCGCCGGGCTTGATGTAGAGGAAGGGGTTAAACTTACCTCTTTCTCCAACGCCGGTCGGGGAGCTCTCCTCCTCCTCTCCTCCCTCTTTTCCTCCTCCTCTGGACGCTGGCATCTTCTCACTGTAATTTTCACAGTGAGAAGCACGCAAGCGCCTCTAGCGGCTGTCAAGAGACAGCCACTGGAGGCTGGATTAACCCTAATATAAACATAGCAGTTTCTCTGAAACTACTATGTTTATAAGAAAAAGGGTTTACCCTAGCTGGACCTGGCACCCAGACCACCTCATTAAGCTGAAGTGGTCTGGGTGCCTATAGTGGTCCTTTAATGCGCTCTTTGATAAGAACACATTTGATTCATTTATTAATCGCTAGTACCATTATTCTGCTTAAATGGTCACTATAAGACAACTTTCATGATTGGATAGCTAATGGTACAAAGAGCACACTGTGCCTGTTCTGAGCTCTGAGAGTGTCTGAGATTTGTAAACAAGATAATCACTCAGACTGCCAATCAGGTAGCTGGAATTCTCTGTTCCAGATACCGGATATCACTTTTGTCCAGGTTCTGCATGTAGCTTGAGCCTACACAACTTGGGCTGAACTTTCTCTTCATCCAGGAGAAAGAGTTAATCATTGGACCATAGATGGGCAGATTGCAACTCTGTGGGTCAGTACACATAGGGTGGTTCACTGTGCATCACTCCTCATCCTTTGTGATTGGATTGCAATGTACCCCTAAGTTTCATAGTCTTCACCCTTTTATTCTAAGTAGTTGAATGCTTGAATGAACAGACAATTACTAAAGCACCTGCAGTAATGGACAGACAGAATTTTAAGAGCTGCCAACTAACACGGCAATGTGTGTCTATTTTGACGATTTGACATTTGTCCACTTCAAATTATGAGGTACAAAGTATTACGGAGATATATATCCAGGTTTCAGGAATCTACTGTACAGGAGATGCAGCTTTTCTGGGAAGTATCGATTTGGAATAATGACCAGATCAGACATGTTATGGCATTTTCAATGTTATCAGCAGTTATCTTAGGAAACAGCCCACCCTGCTGAGCTTCCTCTTTCCCATGCCAGTCCTGGGTTTGTTTGAGAATGCCACAGGACCAACATTGGTAAAAATAGAAATCTGCAATGTTTTGAACTTGCGTTTTAAAGTGTTTTTTCAAAAGAGTAGCCAGGTAAATGGATAAAGAGATAAAAAAGAAGTAAACCTAACACATTATGTGTGTGTGAAGACACTTAGTCATAGGTTTGTGACTGATAGCTAAAGGATCTTGTTTTCTTTATTTAGGGTAAGTGATTACTTTATGCGAAGAGGTTGGCAGCGCATTCATGACAACAAGAGAGAAGATTATAGATTGAAATGGTGTGAGGCCAAGTGCTCGGCAACGTATTGTACATTTCGAGACGGTAAGAGAACAACTTATAATAAATACTTTGATTACTTACATATAGATTCAATTATGCATTTTATTATTTGCAATAAAATGAAGAATGCATAGACAACTGGCCAATAAACAGTTATTGGTGGCGAACTGATCAGAAGCTATAACAGTCTAAGGCAAAAGGAAAGGTTTTTTTTTACCGTAAGAACAATTAGGATGTGGAATTCTCTGCCTGTAGAAGTGGTTGTATCAGAGTTCGTACAAACGTTTAACCCCTTAAGGACACATGACATGTGTGACATGTCATGATTCCCTTTTATTCCAGAAGTTTGGTCCTTAGGGGGTTAAACAGCTACTAGATGTGTACTTGCAAAAACATACTTTTCAATTATATAATTTTTCAACCGTGGGGCAATAGCTTCTTGAGAACATCCAGAGAAGGCTGAACTTGATGGACACATGTCTCTTTTCAGCCTATGTAACTATATGTAACAGATATGTTGTAAATGTTGTCCAGCTATGATTTGGTTCTTTTGTATTTTACAAGTCTAACAAGGTACAGGCATCGTTCCTCGGACCTCCCTTTCCAGTTGACATGTTGTTCTTCCTTTCAGCCTACTTACCACCTAGCTTGTTTGAACAGGGCCCTCTCCATCTACTGTAAAATTGCAAAATACTCTGGAATGTGTTAGGACTATTATAAAAAAATATATAATCTTAATAATAACAATAATAATAATAATAAAAATGAGTTTATTATGTTTGAAATTCTGTTTCCAGCTTATCATAAACTACTGTTTAGTGAAAAGGTCACACTCTGACTAATGTTTCACAAAGGATCTACTTGGCTAAGAGTGTTAATGAGAAATATCCGATTAGCAATTTGTCTTTAAATCACTTCTATTCCAACACTGCTGGAAACCTAATTAAAATGGGACTTTTCTTATTAAAAAAGAGATTTTTTTATCTACATCTTTACATGGAGTGAGCATGCGATTTCATACTTATCAACAACATATATAACACTTTATTGCATAATGACCTAAATTCCAGGGATTATAATACATTTCCTGCTTACATATGGAGACTCACCAAGATTCCATTAGCAACATTTTGAATTGCCCAATCATTTGGCGAAAATATTCGTTCCACTGGAAACGATACTGCTCCCTGATGTCACACTTATTCTGGGATGAAATGTATAAAGGCACCCAGAGCGGTAATACCTGTTATTATTATTAATATGGTTAAAGCATCAAGCTAACTGTTAAATTGGAGGAACTACCCATATTCGAACAAAGAGTCTGCAATGACATAGTGGCTGAAACTATTTAATATACCGTGCTTTATGTGATCTACTTTGCAGTGAAATGCTTATTAGAGTATACCTGCCACCTAGTGGCCAGTTTAAACATGACATATCAATGGAAAGCCCACTGCAGATTCAAATATTCTCTAGTACAGGGGTAGGCAACCTAATGTTGTAGACTATCTCTCCCCTGAGCATTATGGCTGTAAGAGCATTATTGGATATGTAGTCAACAACATGGTTATGGTTTGCATGGTTGCCTACCCAGGCTCTAGTTAGTACTGTCTTAACCTGGTGTGCAATGCAGATATAATAAGAGGGCAATTAAATCATATGGTTTTCATATACTGTATATTTATTTTGCGCTGCGGAATATGTTGGTGCTGTATGAATAGCTGTAAATGCTATATATATACATGTCCTGACATCATCTAGAGAGCTTAATTCTGGTACATGCTATACTGGTTTTATTTATCACGATAATAATACAAATAAATATAATGGTATTAATAAACATATTTAAATGATGATCATTTTATATACTCAGAAATTGTTTACATTATTTTGGTTATATTAAAGGGACAATATAGGCACTCAGATAACTTGATCTCAATGAAGTGTTGTGGGTGAAGTGCGCCTGTCATTTTTGCCCTTAATGTAAAACATTGCCATTTAGTAGATATGTTCCGTAGACCTTTTCATTGCAGAGCTGACTCCCTGACAGCCACTGCAGGTTCTTTCCTCTGTGAGAATTGAGTCAGACTTAGTTCTCAAACATAACCTCCATTGATAGCTCTCATCAAGAGCATTTGATTGGAGGAGTGTGGCGATTGCCGCACATATGGTACTCATCCCCAGTGCTTCTGTGAGAAGAACTGGATTGGACGAGAAGATGAAGAATCAACACATGTGGTAAGAGCAGGTGGCTGCACTGAGTAAGTTGTGGAACCGGAAAAACCGCGGCACGCCTATGTATATTGAGACCGGCAGGGGAGATCTCAGGATCTCCCCTGTCGGCTCATGCAGAGCCGGCGCTATCTGAGAGCCGGCTCTGCTCTCAGCCTCCCTCCCCACTGACCCACATGCAGGGAGGGAGGCAGGAGAGGACCCGGCGGAGCTATTGCCGGCAGCTCCGCCGGGTTCCTTCACGGCAATGCTCAAATCTCTCTCCACTCACCACTGGATGGAATCAGCAGCACGATCCCCCCTCCCTACAAAAGGTAAGAAGGGAGGGGGGATAGCAAGTAATGTACCCCCCAACTCCACCACCAACTAACAGGACACACACATACAGCACCCACAGACATACAGCACCCACACAGCACCCACACACATACAGCACCCACACACATACAGCACCCACAGACATACACAGCGCCCACAGACATACACAGCACCCACAGACATACAGCACCCACACACATACAGCACCCACACACATACAGCACCCACACATACAGCACCCACAGACATACCACAGACATACAGACATACAGCACCCACACACATACAGCACCCACACACATACAGCACCCACAGACATACACAGCACCCACAGACATACTGCACCCACAGACATACACAGCACCCACACACATACAGCAACCACAGACATACAGCACCACAGACATACACAGCACCCACACACATTCAGCACCCACAGACATACAGCACCCACAGATACAGCACCCACAGACATACACAGCACACACACATACAGCACACACACATTCAGCACACACACATTCAGCACACACACATTCAGCACCCACATACAGCACTCACAGACATACACAGCACCAACAGACATACAGCACCCATACAGCACCCACAGACATACACAGCACCCACAGACATACACAGCACCCACAGACATACACAGCACCCACAGACATACAGCACCCACACATACAGCACCCACGGACATACACAGCACCCACAGACATACAGCACCCACAGACATACAGCACACATACAGCACCCACAGACATGCACAGCACCCACAGACATACACACCCACACAGCACCCACAGACATACAGCACCCACAGACATACAGCACCACACACACATTCAACACCCACAGACATTCAGCACCCACAGACATACACATAACCCAGACACATACAGCACCCACACACACATACACACAGCACCCACAGACATACACAGCACCCACACACATACACAGAAACACACACATACAGCACCCACAGACATACACAGCACCCACACACATACAGCACCCACATACATACATAACCCACAGACATACAGCACCCACAGACATACAGCACCTACAGACATACACAGCACCCACACACATACAGCACCCACACACATACAGCACCCATACACAGCACCCACAGACACACATACAGCACCCACAGACATACACAGCAACTCCACAGACATACACAGCACCCACACACATACACAGCACCCACACACATTCAGCACCCATGGTGACATACACAGCACCCACACACATACAGCACCCACACACATACAGCACCCACACACATACAGCACCCACAGACATACAGCACCCACATACATTCAGCACCCACAGACATACAGCACCCACAGACATACACAGCACCCACACATATACAGCACCCACAGACATACACAGCACCCACACACATACAGCACCACAGACACAGCACCCACAGACATGCACAGCAGCCACACACATACAGCACCCACAGACATACACAGCACCAATACACATACAGCACCCACACACACATACAGCACCATCACAAACACACACAGCACCCTCACACACAGCACACAAACAGCACCCTCACACACACACAGCACACTAACAGTACCCTCACAAACACAAACAGGACCCTAACAAACACACACACAGCACACTACCAGTACCCTCACACACAAACAGCACCCTCACACACAGTACATTAACAGCACCCTCACAAGCACGCACACACAAACACCCTCACCCACATAGCACACTACCAGCACCGTCACACACACATCACACTAACAGCACCCTCACACAGCACACACACACAGACAGCAGTGTGTGTATGTGTGTATATATGTGTATGTATATATATATATATATATATATATACACATATGTATATATATATATATATATATATATACATACATACATATATATATATATGCGGCGTGTGTTGTGCTTTAGGGTGCACACCCTAATGCAATAGGCTGCGCACGCCTATGCACAGATCACTCACAGAAACAGAGCCCAGGGCTCTAGGAGGGGACCCCATTCTGGAACCCTGTCTAGGGCCTACAATGCAATACAATACAGGCTACTGTGGTACTTGAATCTATAAATGGCCCCTAATTAAAACAGAAACGGACAAAAATTGCAGCTTAATAATTTGGCAATGCAATCAATAATGATCTAACTGGACTGGGTTCTAACTGCAGTATCTCAGAATCACGGGTTTCATTCCTGCCAGGGCCAGCTGAATTTCTTTTATCCTTCAATAGAGGTTGATAATATTAGAACCATTGAGAAGTGTAATGATAACATCTATACTCCAGGGTGTACTTGAAAACAAAATTTATATTTTCTGGTTAAATACATTGACGTTATTAAAAGCTATTTTATGATTTATAACTTACTGTCTCTTTGTGTTTTTAAGGTGAGCAATTGGTATACCAAATACCTAATAATAAACTCCTGACTACAAAAATTGGCCTCTTAAATAGCCTGAGAGAGTATGAAAGAGTTATGATCAAGATCAGCAAGCTCGGGAACCCTCGGTGAGTACATATTGCACAAGGACTCTGCCCTACATGGGAACATGTATTATAGACAAATGCAGTTATACAACTTTTCTCTTTGCATACATGAAATAAAGAGTAAAAAATATATATAAGCAATTGCATTTGCTTATACATTGATCAAATTAAAAAAGGCAGACATACATATTAATGAGATCATTAAATATCACATTGCAGCTTATCCTTAAGTGCTTACTCATAAGTGCAGTTCTTTATCCATACAATTATATAAATCTATGGTCTACAACTGTGCTCTGAATGGGAGTTTTACAGAAATAATTGCCCTTAAGTTTTAAAAGGATATGAGTTATTTTGCTGACCGGGTTATTCATTAAAGGGCGACTTATCGAGAATTTTAGACCAAACTAATTGAAATTAAATTGTAGGTGAATTGAAGAATTGTTCCTTTTTGGATATTTAACTTTGAACACCTGTCAAATCCAACATTATTGAGTAACACTGTAAGTATTAGATAGCATGGAACAGTGTCAAATATGCAGAAAGTATAGGAAAATATGTACACATATTAGTATTATTTATTTATACAGACCAACAAATTCTGCATTGACACTATATTTAAAAGGATCAATATTTTGTTTGACAGATGGAAATCAATATGTCCACAAGCTTATGATGTAGATGACAAATATAAAGGTATTGTGCTTTTTTTGCATTTTAATCACATCATATCTATCTTGCCCCTGGTCAGGATCCTCAGAATAGACGATTTTTTCCCTGAAACTTTTCGTATGGATATTGCAACTGAGAGAGACACATTCTTTTCTCTTAATGAAGGTGAGAACTCTTACTTCTACTGAGAGACTGCCTTCCAAAAATATGTTCTACCAACCAGGGAAGTAACAAAACTGCAGGGAGTGTGATGTTCATAATTTCCCTCTACTGGACACATCACCTCCCATTTTTGTCAAATTCTATTGTTAAATTTAGTAAAATAAGAATAATTAATAACGTGCATTATGAACGATGTGACTGTGGCTTTGTAATTTTGTTTAACATACACAAATGCAAAAATATTGTATTACCTTATTACTGCATGTATCAGGGAACACCAAGTAACTATATGACAAAGCACAATGAAACTAGTGCAATTTATATTCTCATAGCAGCCACGTTAGTCAAACCATGTTATTGGAAAACTGTCACTGTTCCATCGGTTGGGGAGGTTATCTCATTAGTAATAGAAAATAAAAGCTACAAACTAGCTACTAGGTCATTTACTCCTTACCTGGTGGCATTGAATAGGGATTGAATGACGTCGGAGACCTTCAATCCTTACCATTATCATCAGGATGAAAGATAAATCTACAGTCACAATAATCTAGCGGGGGGAGAGATTGTTTGTAAGACAAGTGGCACAAATTTTTCTTTGTTGGCACAGATCTTAAATTTTAAATATATCTATATTGCCCACACCAAGACCATAATTTTAAATGCTGGTGGTATCTCTGAGAAACTACTTTCAAAAAAAATGACATCAGTATCCTTTAAAATACCTGTTAGTTGAGTATTTGCATGTTTTTTTTTTTTATTTGTCACTCATACATTATGTAACAGCTCCCATGTCAATTCCTCAGTAAGACTGTGTCATCTCCTAAAGGTTATATCCCTAGACCCCACACATGGTTTAGTTGTAGCAGTTTACCTGTTTTTATTTTTGCTGAATTGCTTTGATAGCTGTAAACCAGTGCTTTTCCAAGATATATCCTTTAGGAATTATCTGGATTTTCCTTCTAACCACAAATCTGGTTCCTGACTTCTTGTGTAGTGTTTTTTGTAAAATAAAGGTTCAAACTGAAATCCAGCATTGTAACCCAAGAATTTATCAACTGCAATATTTTTCCATTGTCTAGAAAGTCAAACATGGATCTGCAAACCCACTGGTCTGAACCAAGGACGGGGAATTTTTTTGTTAAAAACTCCTGAGCAAATCAAAGACCTACGATGCCAACTGCAAGCCATGGACGATGACAACAAAAAGGCTCCACACAAGGGTCCACAAGCCAGAATCGTGCAGAGGTAAAATACACAAGTGTGATGCTGATTGCTTTCTACAATTCAAAGAGACACTCTAAGCAACATAAGTAATGGTTAAGTTATTAATAGTCAAAATTTTAATTCAGTGTGATGTCTTATGACTATTGCTGAGCTGCATAATTTTGAAAAAGTCTACAACTCAGCTATAGTCATGGCTTGGCAGTCTTAAACCAGGGTTAATTTTGATGGCAAATTTCAATCTAGTTTTAGTCTTTTGACTAAAAAGCCATTTTAGTCATACGTTAGTCATCGGAATAGTTATAGTCAACTAAATCTTCACTAGATTTTAGTTGACAAAACTAAAATCTTATGGGTTTAGTTAAAGCCTCTATCTTTCTATTTTGCCCCTTCCCCAGCCTCTCTGTGTCTCTTTGTGACCCCAAAGCCCTTTGGGTGTCTCTCTCCAATGCCCCAGTCTCTCTCTTTTGCCCATTCCTCAGCCCCTCCTTATCCCTCCCCCAAGCTCCTGTCTGTTTTGTCCTTTCCCCAGCTCCTCTGTAGCTCTTTTTCCTCCCAGCCCTCTGTGTGTCTCTTTCTCTCCACAGACTAATTTGTGTGTGTCTTCCTCTCAGCACATTGTATTTTTCTCCCCCAGGCCCTCCATGTTGCTTTGTGTGTGTCCCCAGCACCTTTGTGTCTCTCATCTCCCCCAGTGTGTCTCATTCCCCCAGTCCCCCATGTGTCTCAATTCCTCCACCCAGGCACACCACGTGTGTCATTCCACCAAAGCCCCTCTTTGCGCTCATTCTCTCCTAGTGCCTCCATGTGTCTCATTCTCCCTGCCCTCTCATGTATCTCATTCTCCCAGCCCCCAATGTGTCTCATTTCCCCAGCTCCCTCATGTGTCTCATTCTTCCAGCTCTCTCATGTGTCCCAATCCCCCAGTCTTCCAGGTGTCTCATTTCCCCAGCTCTCTCATGTGTCTCAATCCTCCCGTCTTTCATCTGTCTCATTTCCTCTCCTTTTGGCGGCAAATTTCCATTTAGTTTTAGTCATAGTATTTTGACTAAAAAAGCCATTTTAGTTTTTGCCGTATTTTAGTGATCTGAATTGTTTTAGTTGACCAAAACGACAACATTTTAAATATGTTAAAAAAATTGTTAGTCGATGAAATTAACACTGGTCTTACCCAATAATTTTGTTATTTAGGCTTTCGTTTAGTACAAATCTTAGTTTAGTAAATAGCCCACTCTGTGTGCTAACTACTTGCATATACAGGGTTATTCAGTAAAGTGAGAATTGCTGGGAATATAAAACAAATTCAAATTTAATGTCAAGGCATCTATACTAGAAGAATAGTTTAACTATTTGGGCCTTAAAGTGGCACTGTCTTGGCTGCATCCATTTTTTTTAACCCCCAATAGTGCCCCTAGTCACTCCCAAATGGCCTTTGGCCCCCCAATTTACCTTTTTTTTAATAACTTTATTTTATGCCCGGACTTAGGTCCTGGGTGCCACCTTCTTTGTGTGGGCAGATGAAGTCCCTGTGAGACACGTCATCTGCCCACACTAGATAGCGCTATGAATTTCTCATGCATGCCCAGTTAAACACTGGGGCATTCGGATGGGAATTTCTTCAATTCATTAATTCGTCAGAAATACGAATAAATGAATAGACATTTCAAACGAATGAACGAATACCTCTTAGTTTGTTTGTTTAGTTTATTACAAGGAGGGAGCTACCGGCTCGCAGCTCCCTCCTTGTCATATGTAAAAATAGAAGCAGCAGGGAGCAGTGCTCGCCACCACTTCCTTACTCCCCCCATGCCCTCCCTCACTCTATGGGGGTTAAGATGACCCCAAAATTAGCATAAGGGAGATTAAAGTCTTCCGAATGCCCCTACTCGCTATACTGTGAGTACCTATTGTCCTCCAACCAGCCCACCCATATTGGCGACAGGTGGGAGCTAAATGTAAAAAATCACCCTACCCCACAGGTGACTAGAGAATCCAAAAGCCCCTAGTCACCCCCACCCTAATAAAATTAAACACTACCTACCCCCTCACCCTAAAAATAATATCTGTAAATAAAAAAAAAAACCACACCATTAGATGTCTTCTTTTTTCTTAAACCTTCTTTTTTCAGCCCCAAAAAAGGCCAAATAAAAATGGATGTGGACTTGGGGGCGGACAATAGGTCCCCCTCCTTTGTTACTTAGGGCCCTCACTCGCCGCTCATGGGAGGGAGTGGGGGGAAATATTAGGTCCCCCCCGTTTTGCTACTTTGGTGCCCCCTCTCACCGCTCATGGGTGGGGGCTGCAGAGGGGGAGTCAATAGGTCCCCCCCTCCTCTTGTTACTTTTGCTACTTAAAACTCCCTTATTCACTTATACTAAGTAATCTTTACTTAGTGTTAGTAAATATGGCTAAAAGACCAATTTAGGTCTTTCACCCTTTTAGTAGATAGCTCCCTAATACTGTGGGAATTAGGGAGCTATCTACTCGCGGCACAAAAAGATTGGCATTTGATTCATTCGAATGAAATTCTGAACCGAACAAAAGTACAGAATTACATCCTAACATGAATGAACAAATTGTTCAGTAGTTTCGCCGGCGTCCTGTCCATGTGACAAGACGTTCGGGAATAGTGAAAGCAGGCAATGGAAAAGTGGGTCTGAGCTGGTCAGGCGTAGGAAAAATACATATGACAAAGTAGTCCCTACTTTGTCTTATGTTTTAAAGTAAACTAGAGCAGACAGGAAGAAAAGAAGAAAAGATCCCAAGAGAGGGAGAGAAGAGGAAGCAGTTAGGGAAAGGTTATGACAGTGCTGCTTTAAATTCGAAATTCACTTTGAATTCACATTGAATATCTGACAATTTTCACTTTTTTGAATAACCCTGTAAAATGTGATGTCTGGTATATACCCAGGATTTGCACATTTTAGACAAAAATCCAGATTGAAAAAATTCAGTTATATTACCAGTCCGGCTCTTTGAACTAAAATTTTAAATTCTGTGATACATTCCATACATCTCACAGTTTAGTTAATAATAAAGTCAGTGTCAGTGGTTTTTATTCCACTAAACACAAGATTGCTGACATGGACAAAATCTTCAACTCTGCTAGAGAGACTGCTTACTTAGCCAAAATTCTGCAATAAAGGTTTTAATGTATCACATTAAAGTGGTTTCTATTTTTTATTCTTTATTTACAAACCCAATTTTTTCCAACTTTAGTGTTCATAATGAAGAGTTCAGGAAATATTCTACATTTTTCTAAAGTTCCTGGTGTTTTCCCCAGACTTTCCATGGACATCTATTTATTTTTTAATGAAGGTTAACATTTATACTATTCACCCGAGATACTTAGGAACAGTGTGGCTTTAAGCCCTTAAGGATCAAACTTCTGGAATAAAAGGGAATCATGACATGTCACACATTTCATGTGTCCTCAAGGGGTTAAACATCCATTCAGGAATCCTTAATTTATTTCTCATTACAGACAAGTTAAAATTCAACTACCTCGGAAGCAAAAAATAACAAACTTGTTACAATCCATTAATAGCTAATTGTTTGAATAGAGTAATGCTCACGTTTCATCTAAACTATTTATTACTTTCAGTTTTTTGTAATACTTGTATTTCTATTAATTTATCTAATTAAAGGAACGTTTCATACACAGAAGCACCTGAACTTGCTGAAGTGCTTTATGTGTGAAGAGTGTGTTAACATTTTACAAAAAGTGCAGATTTCAATAGAAATTGGCACTTTTATAAAATAACCTTGTTACACCCCCTTGGCTTTCATTTAGACAACCGGCCCTCTACATCTTGGTTTGATTAGCTCAGTGGAACTAAACTCAAGAGACAGGCAATTGCTCAGAGCACCTGCCTTGCAAAGACTTCTTATTAAACTGCATTGGAAAGTCTGTGAATGGACAGCCACAAAAAAATCTGGGCTGGGCTAGAAGTGGAGGGCTTGCAAAGGATGCATACCAGAGATCGGCAGCTTTTGCAAGCTGTTTTTGCATTAACATTGAGTGGAAAAAAATGCACAATTAAATGCATGCATGTTTTCATTGGGAGTGAGTCTATTAAACAATTATTATTATTTTATTATTTATATAGCGCCATCAGATTCCGTAGCGCTGTACAATGGGTGGACTAACAGACATGTAATTGTAACCAGAGAACTGGACGTACAGGAACAGAGAGGTGGAGGGCCATGCTCAATGAGGTGTTTTTTTTACATTAAAAAAAATATATATATTTGGGCAGTGTAGTGTCCCTTTAAGGTTTATGTTTAGCATCCATGTCTCCATGCAAAGATGATAATTTCAGGTACTCTAGGACAAACACTTTTAACTATTTTATCTATGCTTATTATACCTTCATTATACTGTAAAAAATAATCAAGTACTTGTGCTGATAATTTTAAGTAAATTATACATACATCTTCCAAATCTATGAGAACAATAATAACTTGCCCAAGCAGAGCAGAAAGCATTTTGCTTTTTGTTAGAGCTCCATCTAGTGGCATATTTTTATTACACTGGAAGATTAACAAAAGTTTATTAAATAGCTGAAGTTTTACATACTTTTTCTAAGTTCTCAGATTTTCATTTAACCCCTTAAAGGACCACTATAGTGCCAGGAAAACATACTCGTTTTCCTAGCACTATAGTGCCCTGAGGGTGCCCCCACCCTCAGGATCCCCCTCCCGCCGGGTTCTGGGGAGAGGAAGGGGGTTAAAAATTACCTTTTTCCAGCGCCGGGCGGGGAGCTCTCCTTCCCCGATCCTCCTCTTCTCCTCCCATTCAGCTGCGCGCGCATTCAGCCGGTCTCATAGGAAAGCATTTACAATGCTTTTCTATGGACGCTGGCGTCTTCTCACTGTGATTTTCACAGTGAGAATCACGCAAGCACCTCTAGCGGCTGTCAATGAGACAGCCACTAGAGGAATTGGAGGAAGGATTAACCCATTTACAAACATAGCAGTTTCTCTGAAACTGCTATGTTTATAAAAAAATGGGTTAACCCTAGCTGGACCAGGCACCCAGACCACTTCATTAAGCTAAAGTGGTTTGGGTGCCTAGAGTGGTCCTTTAAGGACACATGACGGAAATATTCCGTCATGAATCCCTTTTATTCCAGAAGTTGTATCTTTAAGGGGTTAAGTTAAACCACCATCTGGATTGTAGGCACAAACAATTGTATCATAAGGGAAATGTCTCACACTTATATATATATTTTTGGGGATATCGTACCATCACAAAACTTATTTTGGATGTCTGCTTTTACATATTCAATATTTGTGACCAAATATGTGGATTTAAAAAAAAAAAAACTAAGCATAACTGGTTATTATATTATATCTTCACCACCACACATGCAGAGAGAATTAGGAGAGGCTTCCCGTCCCCTCCACGCTCCCCCTCCCCTCCATGCTCCCCCTGTTTAGCAGTGGTATCTAATGGACCTCATTTATTTTTGTACATTTACTTTTTTACAACTTCAAAGAAAGATGAAATAACAGATTGGATCTCTGAGGTTTACCGAATTTTGTTCAGTTTGCAGAATTTCCGTATATCAAAATTGAATCAAAAGGGCATTAAAATTGACCAATCATTGTACTTAAAAATATATACATCATCATTTTATGTGTAGTATCATGTTATGTGTGTATTTTGCAGTACACTGACAGGAGCATTTTCCTGTCATTTAGTTCACAGATCAAGTAAAGAAATTTATGTAATAACAGGAGGAGCATTAAAAAAAATCTTGATATATTATATATTTATTTAAAGGATCACTATAGTGTCAGGAAAACAAACCCGTTAAAACCCCTTCAGCAGCTTACCTTAATCCAGTGCCGGGCTCCTTCGGCGCTGGTGACCTCTCCTTCCCTGACGACGTCAGCTCCCGAGTGGAGCCAAATGTGCATGCGCGGCAAGAGCCACGCTCATTCAAACAGTCCAAAGAAAAGTATTTCTCAATTTCTCGAATTTCGCATCCAGCGTTGCAGATGCGCCTCTAGCAGCTGTCAGGAGGTTGGATTAACCCTGCTATGTAAACATAGCAGTTTCTCTGAAGGGTGAAGGGTTAAAACCTGAGGGACCTGGCACCCAGACCACTTTATTGAGTTTAAGTGGTCTGGGTGACTATAGTGTCCCTTTAATATATAATACATAAATATAGATTTTTTTCTCTCTATTGCTCACTTCTTATTTAGTGACTGTTCCCTAGCCATCAATTATCTTTTTTTCCTTTTATCAATCTCTTTTTTTGGTGCCACGGGCCAAATTCAGAATCACAAATCAAATTGAACATGCTTGGCTATTGTGTATTTCGGTTGGATCGAGAGTGGGGTAAATTTCAGCTTGGAGTTCAGAAATTTGATGGATCATCTGATCGTATCAAATTCTGACGAACTGCAGTTCAGACTAAAATGAATGTCTAGGTCTATTGAGCTCTGTGTGTTTAAAACACTATAAAATGCCCGAAATGTACACAGTTACAGATTAAACATTTTTTGTTTTTGTCTAAAAAGAATGTGGGAATCTCTGATCTTTTTTATACTTTCACAGCTCCACATGATAAATATTTGTCTCTGGTAACTCTGTGTCTTTGATGGGATAATGTGAATAGACAGGCATAGAAAGCTCCACTTACTCAGTGAGTAACAGGGTTATATATAATTTCATGTACAGCTGTTTTAAAATCATTTGCTTTTTCATTTGTTGCCTGTCCGAGCTCCAGTTTACCTAACGTCAGGGGCGTTTTAGCCACGAGGCAAACAAGGCATTTGCCTTGGGCGGCATTTTTCAGGGGCCGCCCCCAAATGCCCAGGGCAAATGCCTTGTTAGCCTCGCGGCTAACAGACATGCTGTGCGGGCGGCTGGCGAGGGAGCTCTTCCCCTGAGCGGTCTGCTCAGCTCCCTCGCGCGCTGCAGAGTGAGGCTGGGAGCCGGAAGATGACGTTATATTCCGACTCCCAGCCTCACTCTGCGGCGCGCGAGGGAGCTGAGCAGACCGCTCAGAGGAAGTGCTCCCTCGCCAGCCGCCCACCCAGCCCGGCAACCACTGGACCCCCAGGGAGGTAATGAACCCCTCCCCGCCCAGCAATCCCAAAGGTAAGGAGGTTGGGGGAGGTGGGGTAAATAAAAAAATAAATAAAAATGTGTTAATGTGAGTGTGTGTGTGTCTGACTGTGTGAGTGAGTGTGTGTCTGACTGTGTGTGTCTGTTAGTGTGCATGTGTGTGTCTGACTGTGTGTCAGTGAGTGTGTGTTTGCCTGTGAGTGTGTGTGTGTGTGTCTGTTAGTGTGTGTGTGTGTGTCTCTTAGTGTGTGTGTGTGTCTGTTAGTGTGTGTGTCTGACTGTGTGTGTGTCTGTTAGTGTGAGTGTGTTTGCCTGTGAGTGTGTGTGTCAGTGAGTGTGTGTCTGTTAATGTGTGTGTGTTTGTTAGTGTGTGTGTGTGTGAGTTTGTGTGTGTCTGCTAGTGTGTGTCTGCTAGTGAGTGTGTGTGTGTCTGTTAGTGTGTGTGTGTGTGTGTGTGTCTGTTAGTGTGTGTGTCTGTTAGTGTGGTGTGTTTGCCTGTGAGTGTGTGTGTCAGTGAGTGTGTGTCTGTTAATGTGTGTGTGTGTTTGTTAGTGTGTGTGTGAGTTTGTGTGTGTCTGCTAGTGTGTGTCTGCTAGTGAGTGAGTGTGTGTGTGTCTGTTAGTGTGTATGTGTGTGTCTGACTGTGTGTCAGTGAGTGTGTGTGTGTCTGCTAGTGAGTGTGTGTGTCTGACTGTGTGTCTGTTAGTGTAAGTGTGTTTACCTGTGTGTGTCTGTTAGTGAGTGTGAGTGTGTCTGTTAGTGTGTGTGTGTGTTTCTGTTAGTGAGTGTATGCGTATCTGTCAGTGAATGTGTGTGTGTGTATTTAGAAGGCGGGGCGGGGGAAAGGGTTGGGGGGGGGGCTGCCCAGGGCAGCACAAAACCAGGATACACCACTGCCTAATGTCATCTGCAAACGATGTTATACCTCTTACAAACTATATTGTAAGAACAAATTACAATTTTTTTTCCCTATCCTTACCTTTTGTGTCACTATACCCCACTCCCTCTAGCATGTAAGCTCATTGAGCAGGGCCCTCAATCCCTCTGTTACTGTGTCACTATACCCCACTCCCTCTAGCATGTAAGCTCATTGAGCAGGGCCCTCAACTCCTCTGTTCCTATGCATCCAACATGTCCGGTTACAAATACATATCTGTTAGTCCACCCATTGTCCAACGCTGCAGAATTTGTTAGCGCTTTATAAATAATAATAATAATAATGTACAAAAACAGATATATTGATATCAAAGTCTATCAAATTCATGTTTAAATTAATTGTCGTGATTTTTTATTATCTTTACAGGTATATACCCAACCCTTTGCTTTTGGATGGACGAAAGTTTGATGTTCGTTCTTACTTACTCATTGCATCCACTGTCCCTTACTTTGTATTCTTTTGCCATGGTTACGTGCGTCTTACATGTAATCACTATGATCCTAAGTCTGATGACCTCACAGGTCACCTGACCAACCAGGTATATCTTATTAGTGTCGCTTACAACCTTTGCAAAATAGATCAACTATGCTTGTCAATGTCTAACTGAGTTATTCACTAAAGTAAGTTTTTCAGGAATTCAAAGTGAATTTCAAATTTAGGGAAAAGGTACTGGAAGCATGGCTAATTTGGAGAATTTTCTAGTTCGCCAATTCTGGCCTTCAATTTCAAATTCACTTTGAATTCCTGACAATTCTTATGTAAGAGAATAATCCTGTTAATGTGAATATCCAGAAATATATATATATTTTTTTGAAAAGATTGTCCATATGAATAGAAAATATACAAAAAATGTAATTAGACAACAAACTATTAATTCACCCATCATTTTTATATTTGTATTGATCAAACAATTAAAATCGTGCTAAAGAGAACTGACAATATATATCATTTACTATTCTGTCTGTAACATCAGGTGGGTTTCCTATAAGATCGTAACAAGCTTTTCTTTATACGCATTTGCCCCAGTACATGCAAAAGAAGAACCCTTTGTACAGTGAACTTAAGGAAGAAACTGTGTGGTCAATGGACAGATTTAATACTTATGTGAATGAAATTGCTTCCGATAAAGGCCTACCTCAAGACTGGGTGCTGAATGTATTCACGGTGAGGAAACAACCCCTGAGTAACATGCACATGCAAACAGTGGTTCAGCAGTACATCATTTTTACCTACCCATTGATTACAACAGTATAGAAAGATAGAATGAGACGGCAGATAAGAACTATTTGTAGCGGACCATGCGTATCCCGGCCGGTTACCTCCGCTAATTCCTTCCTTCAGCCTCTCTGGAACCCTTAAAACAAGCAGGCATCCCTTCCCCCCCAGTAACCGGACGACACACAGTTCTGGGTGTACAACTCACTGAGTTTTATTGGAACACATACAGCTTTTATGCCCAGTCCCCTACATGGGGTTTACAATACAAGATAACAGGGGTTTCAATCCCAGGATCCTCTACAGAAAAATATACAATATTCTGAGACACTCCAAAAATACATTTTCAAAAGGGACCAATTTGAATTGGGGGCAGACAGTTTACAACATGGATTGATCCTTTGATTAATCAAAGGCTCTGTCTAGTTCCAATGTAAACTAACTGTCTCTAGCCATATGGCCTGTACCTCTTAATTGATGAGTTAATTTCTTTGAAATGTTAATGATCATTAGCCTTCCAGAATTGCATTGTTCGATAGCATTCCATATCACAGTAGGCTCTGCATTACATAGTATCACACTGTGCCGTATTATAGCATTCACTACCACTCTATATCACACTATATGATAATATTCTGTATCATCCTGTACCACTCTGTATTTCACTATATTGTAGCATACTGCATCACACTGTATTATAGCATACTGTATCACACTGTATTGCAGCACTCTATATTATAGCTGAGTTCCAGTATCATATCCCAAAGAGACACCAACACTTACCCACAGATTAATAACTAAGCCTCATTTCTATTGCATTCAGAATGGGACAAGCACAATCTTCTAATCAGCCCAAACATAATTTGAGAACAAAGGGGACACAAGTGGGCATGGTACCTTCACACTATTCGACCCATCTAGTCAGCCCAATTTTCATTATTTCTTGGCCTTATCTTATAGCTTGGATAGCATAATGCCTACCTGACCCACGTTTAAACTCCCTCACTGTGTTAACCTCTACCACTTCAGCTGGAAGGATTTTCCATGCATCCACTACCCTCTCAGTAAAGTAATACTTCCTGATATTATTTTTAAACCTTTGCCCCTCTAATTTAATACGATGTCCTCTTGTTGTGTCAGTTTTTCTTTTAAATATGCTCTTCTCCTTTACTATGTTGTCCCTTTATGTATTTACATGTTTCTATTATATACCCCCGCCTCGTCTTTCCTCCAAGCTATACATGTTAAGATCCTTTAACCTTTCCTTGTAAGTTTTTTCCCTCCAAACTATGAACAAGTTTAGTGACCCTTCTTTAACGACCTCTCATTATATATCTATATGTTTGGTGGTCGATCCATCCTCCATCCACTTATCCATCCACCTACTAACTCATTTATCCATCCATTCATCCATCTATCCAATGATCCATTTCTCCATCGATTCATCCATCCACCCACCCACCCACCCACACACTCACTTATCCATCCATCCATTTTCAATCCTCTCATCCATCCACTCGCTCATTTATCGATCCTTCCATCCACCGATTTCTACATCCACTCATCCATTCACCTACTCACTCATTTATCCAACCATCCATTCATCCATCCACCAATTTCTCCATCCATCCAGCCATTCATCCACCCTCCCTCCCTCCATTCATCCACCATCCATTCATCCACCATCCATCCATCCGCCATCCATCCATCCATCCACCCATCCATCCATCCATCCATCCATCCATTCATCCACCATCCATTCACCATCCATCCATCCTCCATCCATCCATCCACCATCCATCCACCATCCATCCATTCATCCACCATCTGTCCATCCATCTATCTATCTAGCCATCCCTTTTTCTCTCTTCGCATTGTTTTATATTTTTTTGCATGTCTTCCTGTCTGTTTATATGGATATATAGAATATCTATTTATCGGTCTCTCAGGTTTTTATCCATGCTACCTCCAATGGTTAATTTCCTTTTGCAAGATTCTAAATATAGTTTAGTATCTTTGCCTGTGTGTGACCATTTTTCTGCTTTTGATAGCGACTTAAGAAGGAAGTCATGTTTGTGTGTGTATGTGATTGCTGTGCTGTGTAATGCTATGCTCATAGTCTTCCTGTCTCTTGTAGAAAAGGATGCAGCAAATAATGACACACTGTTTCCTGGCTGTTAAAACAAAGTTGGACTGCCGCCTGGGATACTTTGACCTCATTGGCTGTGACTTCCTGATAGATGAAAACTTCAAGGTAATTTGCCAGATCCATAAGGCAGCCAAGTAAATAATGACTGCACTCTCCAGTATGCCAACAGTACTTTTTACTGAAAGCAGCCTAATGTTGATATTATCAATACATATAATCTAATATCTGAAATATATGAATCTAGAGGTATTGCCTCAGCCATGCTCTCAGTGGTAACTATAGGTCACATATGCTCACAGGAGGAATCTAAATGCCTGACTATGCTACCAGAGGAAATACATTAGCTAGTGAGACCTACTGAAGGACTTGAGTGAGATCTGCAGCAGAAAGAAACACTCACCTCTACTACACATTTGGGTAATTGGGGCTGCCATTTTCCTTGGACATTTTAAATTTGCATCAGACAACATGCTGTGCAAGAAAAAACATTTTATTTAAAGGGACACTATAGTCACCAAAACTACTTTGGCTTAATTAAGCAGTTTTTGTGTATAGATCATGCTTCTGAAGACTCTCTGCTCATTTATCTGCCATTTAGGCTTTAAATCGCTTTTTTTCTGTTTATCTGTTTATAAAAGCATAGCCACACCTCCCCTGGCTGTGACTGACGCAGCCTGCATGAAAACAAAATGGTTTCAATTTTAATCAGATGTTAACTTACCTCTGCTCTGTAAATTAAACTGTAATTACATGAGGCTTCTGCAAGCTGTAGCAGGTTTTTTAACAGAACAGGAGATAAGAAATTCTAAATTAAACAGAATTTGCAATAAAGGAAGTGTAAACATTAGATGACTCTTTACAGGTAGTGCTTAGGAAGACTGTGCAAGTCAAACACATAAAGGGCTGTATAAACAAAGTAAATTTAACTTCAAAATGGCAAAGACTTGAGCAGTGAGACAGCGGGGGCATGATCTATACACCAAAACTGCTTGGTTTAGATAAAGTTGTTTTGGTGACTACCATGTCTCTTTAATTCTCGAATCAGTAAACAGCAACAGTATAGCATTAGCAATGGAAACCTGTATTCCCAGTCCCTGTTTAGTTTAGCGCACCCTCTGTGCAACATAAACTAAATAAAATAACGATTGTATATCCCTACAGATCTGTTGGCAATTAGATGTTCAAATAACTTGAATGCATAGAGAATATGAGTGAACAAAACATTTATTTGCAACAGTGGATAGTATTGAATTCACAGTCAAACCCACAAAATTTAGGACTCGTCATTTTTTTTCAAATTGGAAGATTAGTCCCATTTCTAAACCCTATGACCACGGCATACCAACAAAACCTGAATTAGTGCCAAATTAAATAATCACATTGGAGTCAAAACATCCTGCACACAAAAGGCTCTAAAATAAATAAATCAATAAACAAACAAACAAACTGAAACATGGTACTCGGACACCTATGAAACATAAACATCCTTCTGTTCTCCCACCTTCTCACATCGGGTAGGGCTGTATTATGTAATTATGAACTGAATACATGGCCATGACAACAGCCAACCTCCTTGTTTTCCTATGCTATGTCATGTGGTGGAAAACTGTTCCTAAAACCAATATCAACCTTGGCTATTAATCAAATATTTTTTTCATGGGGAAAGCTTAAGTAATCTGTTATGGGCGGGTAACTTACACCAACATCCTAGTTGTAGAAGAACGGTATTGACAGGAATTATTTCTTTTGTCAGGTGTGGCTGTTGGAAATGAACTGTAACCCAGCCTTGCACACCAACTGTGAAGTGCTCAAGGAAGTGATCCCCAGCATTGTTGATGAAACCCTTGGTATGTTCTTTCACTCCAAATAAAACAGTCAAACTGCCTCGCTTTCTTATGTTATTTGGGAACCAGTGCAACTGGTTTATTACTATAAAAAATTGCTTAGAAGGGAGGGACAGAAAGTATGGAGCTGTGACATCACATTCCTCTGTTCATACCGCTGTACCTCTGTTTTATCTATATAAAATTAAACATGCAAAACAAGCAAGTAATTATTTAGACCAAGCGGCTTACAAAATGTTGTGTTGATGCATGCAGTGATCTTTTACATGTGTTTTTGTTATGCACTGTTGAATTGAAATGCAGATTTTGTTTTACTTGCTAGCTGTTTTTATACCAGATATTAAAGGAACATTGGAAATATTATAGAGGTTTCACTTCTAACCTTGGGTCCAGTAGGTGATGCTCTACACCTCCCCTACAGCCCATGGTTGTGCCAAAAGCTCTCTGTCTGTGCTAAGCCTGGCCATGCAGGGTCATTGGATGAGAACAACCAGCTGACACTCTTAGCCAATGAGCTAGCCCCACACTCTAAGGAGAGCTAGCAGAAGCCCCAAAGCAGGAGTTCCTGGATGGTAAGAGTAGACTGGGGGCATGCCCAGGTAAAAAGGTCAAACCAATCTAAAATCTGATGACTTACAATGTGTGTAGTTGGGTGAGCATACTGTTATGGCTATGATATTTGGAGTGTTCCTTTACATTTTTGGTCTCTCATATTGTTCCACAGTCTCTGATATTTATGTATGTACCTTGCATCATGGTGGGATCACTTTTTGCCTACCAAATAATCCACTATAATGCAACAAAAGAAAAAACAGCAAATGGTTATCAAATAATAATTACATATGGTTTAATTTTCTGTCTAGACTTGTCTCTGGAGCTCTTCAATAAGAAATTAAAAAGTCAACGATTTTTGCCACTGAATACTCAGAGCAAGTTTGTACTACTCTACAATGGAGAACTTAATGAGCAGACAGTGAAATTTAACTGGCCTACAAATACCAGCTTCACCAAAATCCAAAAGGAATTGCCACCAGAAAACCTGAACAAAACTATTAGAAGCGTTGAGAAACCACGGATAATTCTCAAAGTTCCTGTGAAAAATAGGGTCAGCAAACTTGTCATCCCTAAAGTGACCCCAAGAACAACAGCTATGATGGCCTCAGTACAGGTAGTAAACATCCCCAGTAACAATTTACCAGATAAAAAGAAGCACAAATCCAAGAACGAGGTAACACCCAGCAGGTCTGATGCATTGAAGCACAGTGGCGTACCTTCTGAAAGTAACCAGACGAAGGACATAGCTTTACAATCCACCCCAGTAGCCAGGTTCTCCTTTACAAATCTTCAAAAACTTAGAGTCACAGGAAGCAAAACTCCTAGAAACATTAAAAAGAAGCGTAAAACACCTGTGAACAGCAGCACAGAAATAAGTCCAACTCAAACAAGTGCTTGTTTAGAACCTGAAGATGTCAAGACGCAATACAAACTTACAGAGTGCCAAATACCTTTGAGTCCTTAAAAATATGAATGCAACTCTCAATGACAGGAGCTTCACTTGAAAAACACTGGAATAACAAATTAAAAACTCTAAACAGCATTGTCTTGGTCATTATTCTTCAGATGTTTTTCCAACAAATTGTTGAAGACCTTTTAAATACAGTATTTATTCCACATGGTGTGCAATGATGCAGTGTTAATACGGGTAACCTATATTTTCTATAGTTGTGTGTGTATTATAATCTAAAATATAATATAATCTAAAAGTTCCTGCACTCTTTACCGTATATTGTATATTGCCTGGTGCGTATCAGCATAAAAATGAATTATCCTGACAAAAGTTTGGGGGACAAACTGAAACGTTGATTTTTATGTGAGCAATAAAAGTTGTTTTATTTTGCACTAAAAGTCCTTAGAGTGCTATATTATCTTGGATTTTTACCTATATATATTTCAACAAAGTCAACTGCACTCACGGTCTTGAATAAAAAATCTTAGTATATTGAAGCTAGACCTTCACTCTCTTTCAGGGCCGGACTGTGAAAAAAATTAGGCCCGGGAATTTTTTAGTCACAGCGGCCCACTGAGAAAGGAGTGGGGCCAGTGTTTTGTCATCACCAATGGCAAGCACGCCCCCTCTCAAAGTGAGTATGTTGGTTCAAAGCTCTTCCAGGGCAGACCCTTACACAAAAGCTCTGGTGAAGAGCTCTAGCATGAGAAAAAGGCCCAGTATTTGTTCTGCACAGAAGAAGCATTTTTATTAACATGCTTGCACTGTGTTATTAGGAGACAAAAGGGCAAGGAAAGAGTACTGTGCATGTGTTTAGAGCCTGCTTGTGGGATTGCGTGTGTGTAGAGTGAGTTAATTGTGGTGTGATGCTGTGTAAATAGGTTGGTTTCAGTTGTGTTGTGTTTGTGAGGTAATGCATGGCTAGGAGCTGTAGAGTGAGAGAGTGTGCATAGGGAGCATAGTGTGTATAGAGGGTGTTGAGTGTTGAGGTGCAGTGTGTAAGGGGTGCTGTGTGTGAGGGGTGCTGTGTGTGTGTGTATGTGAAGGGTGCAGTGTGTGAGGGGTGCAGTATGTGTGTATGTTAGGGGTGCAGTTTGTGAGCGTGCTGTGTATGTGTACACGAGGGGTACAGTGTATAAGTGGTGCTGTGTGTGTGTGTGGATGCTGTGTGTGTGTGATAGGGTGCTGTGTGTGAGAGAGGGTGCTGTGTGTGTATGTGAGGGGTGCTGTGGGTGAGGATACTATGTGTGGGGAGGGTACGGTGTGTGAGGGTCCAGTGTGTGTATGTGAGGGGTGAAGTGTGTGAGGGTGCAGTGTTTGTGTGAGAGAGGGTTTTGTGTGTGTATGTGAGGGATGCAGTGTCTGAGGGTGCTGTGTTTGTGTATGTGAGGGGTGCAGTGTGTGAGGGGTGCTGTGTGTGTGTGTGTATGTGAGTGGTGCTGTTTGTGAGGTTGCTGTTTGTGAGGTTGCTATGTGTGGGGAGGGTGTTGTGTGTGTGAGAGAGGGTGCTGTTTGTGTGTGAGAGGGTGCTGTGTGTGATGTCTGTGTGAGGGTGCTGTGTGTGTATGTAAGGGGTGCTGTGTGTGTATGTGAGGGTTGCAGTGTGTGAGGGGTGCAGTGTATGAGGGGTGCTGTGTGTGTGTGTGAGGATGCTGTGTGGGGGAGTGTTGTGTGTGTACGTGAGGGGTGCTGTGTATGAGGGTGCTATGTGTGGGGTACTGTGTGTGTTTGAGAGATGGTGCTGTGTGTGTATGTGAGGGTATGTGAGGAGTGCTGTGTGTGAGGGTGCTCTGTGTGGGGAGGGTAATGTGTTTAAGGGTGCTGTGTGTGAGAGAGGGTGCTGTGTGTAAAGGTGTATGTTGGGGATGCAGTATTTAAGGGTGCTGTGTTTGTGTATGTCAGGGGTGCAATGTGTGAGGGGTGCTGTGTGTGTGAGAGAGGGTGCTGTGTGAGTGTGTGTGTATGTGAGGGGTGCAGTGTGTGAGGGTGCTGTGTTTGTTTGTGAGAGAGGGGTGCTGTGTGTGTGTGTAAGGATGCTGTGTATGTGAGGATGATGTGTGTGTGGGGGTGCTGTGTGTGTGAGAGAGGGTGCTGTGTGTGTGTGTAAGGATGCTGTGTATGTGAGGATGATGTGTGTGTGGGGGTGCTGTGTGTGTGAGAGAGGGTGCTGTGTGTGTATGTGAAGGGTACAGTGTGTGAAGGTGCTGTGTGTGTGTGTGTATGTGAGGTGTGCAATGGATGAGGGGTGCTGTGTGTGAGGGGTGCAGTGTGTGAGGGGTGCAGTGTATGAGGGGTGCTGTGTGTGAGGATGCTGTGTGTGGGGGTGCTGTGTGTGTGAGAGAGGGTGCACTGTGTGTGTATGTGCTGGAAGGGTACAGTGTGTGAAGGTGCTGTGTGTGTGTGTGTATGTGAGGTGTGCAATGGATGAGGGGTGCTGTGTGTGAGGGGTGCAGTGTGTGAGGGGTGCAGTGTATGAGGGGTGCTGTGTGTGAGGATGCTGTGTGTGGGGGGGTCCTGTGTGTTTGTGAGAGATTGTGCTGTGTGTGTATGTGAGGGGTGCAGTGTGTGAGGGTGCTGTGTTTTTGTGAGAGATGGGTGCTGTGTGTGTGTGTGTAAGGATGCTGTGTGTGTGAGGATGATGTGTGTGGGGGTGCTGTGTGTGTGAGAGAGGGTGCTGTGTGTGTATGTGAGGGGTGCTGTTTGTGAGGTTGCTGTTTGTGAGGTTGCTATGTGTGGGGAGGGTGCTGTGTGTGTGAGAGAGGGTGCTGTTTGTGTGTGAGGGTGCTGTGTTTATGTATGTCAGGGGTGCAATGTGTGAGGGGTGCTGTGTTTGTGTGAGAGAGGGGTGGAGTGTATGAGGGGTGATGTGTGTGTGTGAGGATGCTGTGTGTGGGGGGTGATGTGTGTGTATGTGAAGGATGCTATGCGTGAGGGTGCTATGTGTGGGGAGGGTGCTGTGTGTGAGGGTGGTGTGTGTGTGAAAGATGGGGTGTCTGTGTGTGTGTATGTGAGTGGTGTAGTGTGTGAGGGGTGCTGTGTGTGTGTGTATGTGAGGGGTGCTTGGTGTGAGGGTGCTATGTGTGGGGAGGGTGCTGTGGGTGTGAGAGAGAGAGAGTGCTGTGTGTGTGTATATGTGAGGGGTGCAGTGTGGTGAGGGTGCAGTGTGGTGAGGGTGCTGTGTGTGTGAGAGAGGATGCTGTGTATGTGAGGGGTGCAGTGTGTGAGGGTGCTGTGTTTGTGTGAGAGAGGGGTGCTGTGTGTGTGTGAGAGAGAGAGGATGCTGTGTGTGTATGTGAAGGGTGCAGTGTGTGAGGGTGCTGTGTGTGTGTGTGTATGTGAGGGGTGCAGTGTGTGTATGTGAGGGGTGCAGTGTGTGAGGGGTGATGTGTGTGTGTGTGTGAGGATGCTGTGTGTGGGGGGGTGCTGTGTGTGTGAGAGAGATCGTGCTTTGTGTGTGTATGTGAGGAGTGCTGTGTGTGAGGGTGCTATGTGTGGGGAGGGTGCTGTGTGTGAGGGTGCTGTGAGTGTGTGAGAGAGGGTGCTGTGTGTGTGAGGGTGTATGTGAGGGTGCTGTGTTTGTGTATGTCAGGAGTGCAATGTGTGAGGGGTGCTGTGTGTGTGTATGTAAGGGGTACTGTTTGTGTGTGAGAGAGCGTGCTGTGTGTGTGAGAGAGAGGGTGCTACGTAAGTGTGTGTATATGTGAGAGGTGCAGTGTGTGAGGGTGCTGTGTTTGTGTGAGAGAGGGGTGAAGTGTATGAGAGGTGCTGTGTGTGTGTGTGTGTGTGTGAGGATGCTGTGTCTGGGGGGTTGCTGTGTGTGTATTGTGATGTATGGGCGGTTGGGCTGTGTATGAGTGTGTGAGTGTATGAGTGTATGTATTGTGATGTATGGGCAGTTGGGCTGTGTGTGTGTGTGTGTGTGTGTATGAGTGTATGTATTGTGATGTATGGGCATTAGGCAGTTGGGCTGTTGTTGGCTGTGAATGATGCACTTCCTTTCTTTTGGTTCTTTACCTTCTGTTCCTATTGGCAGTTGGTGGAATGTCCGTGGGATTTGAAATGATGGCTGCAGACACCCTGTGTAACAAGGCTGCAATATGAAGTTCCTGCTATGTATGTATAAATAAAGTGAGTACTTCGTTATACAGGAATTATTGGCTGATTTGTACAAAAAACATCACATGTATGTGAAGGATGCTTTGTGTGAGGGTGCTATATGTGTGTGTGTGTGTATGTGAGGGGTGCCGTGTGTGAGGGTGCTATGTGTGGGGAGGGTGCTGTGTGTGTGAGAGAGGGTGCTGTGTGTGTGTGTGTGTGTGTGTGTGTATGTGAGTGGTGTAGTGTGTGAGGGGTGCTGTGTGTGTGTTTATGTGAGGTGTGCTTGGTGTGAGGGTGCTATGTGTGGGGAGGGTGCTGTGTGTGGGGGGGTGCTGTGTATATGTGAGAGAGGGTGCTGTGTGTGTGAGAGAGAGGGTGCTGTATTAGTGTGTGTGTATGTGAGAGGTGCAGTGTGTGAGGGTGCTGTGTTTGTGTGAGAGAGGGGTGGAGTGTATGAGGGGTGCTGTGTGTGTGTGTGAGGATGCTGTGTCTGAGGGGTGCTGTGTTTGTGTATGTGAGGGGTGCAGTGTGTGAGGGGTGCTGTGTATGTGAGGGGTGCTTGGTGTGCAGGTGCTATATGTGGGGAGGGTGCTGTGTGTGTGAGAGAGGGTGCTGTGTGTGTGTGTATGTGAGCGGTGTAGTGTGTGAGGGGTGCTGTGTGTGTATGTGAGGGGTGCTTGGTGTGAGGGTGCTATGTGTGAGGGTGCTGTGTGTATGTGTGAGAGGGTGCTGTGTGAGTGTGTATATGTGAGGGGTGCAGTGTGGTGAGGGTGCTATGTTTGTGTGAGAGAGGGTGTTGTGTGAGTATGTGTGTATGTGAGGGGTGCAGTGTGGTGAGGGTGCTGTGTTTGTGTGAGAGAGGGGTGCTGTGTGTGTGTGTGTGTCTGTGTGTGTGAGAGCATGTTGTGTGTTTGAGAGGATGCTGTGTGTGTGTGTGTGTGTGTGTGTGTGTGTGAGAGAGGGTGCTGTGTGTGTATGTGAAGGGTACAGTGTGTGAGGGTGCTGTGTGTGTGTATGTGAGGGGTGCTGTGTGTGTATGTGAGGGATGCAGTGTGTGAGAGGTGCTGTGTGTGAGGGGTGCTGTATGTGTGTGTATGTAAGGGGTGCTTTGTGTGAGGAGGGTGCTGTGTGTGTGTGAGAGAGGGTGCTGTGTGAGTGTGTGTATATGTGAGGGGTGCAGTGTGTGAGGGTGCTGTGTTTGTGTGAGAGTATCCCCCTACTTTCTTACCTTTTGCCTGGAAGGGGGGGGCCATGCTGCCATCTCTGGTGGTCCTAGTGGTGAGAGTCAACTCTAGCCTACAGGGCCAGAGTTCACACCCGCGAGATTGGTGCTTTGCCATGGTAACCGCAGCAATGATCCGACCTCACGTGAGGAACCCGGCGGAGCTGCAAGCCAGAGCTCCTCGGGTCCTCTTTCCTCTCCCTCCCCACCGGCCCATAAAGGCACACAGAAGGGCTGATGCTTAAAAAACGCTGGCTCTGCATGGACCGGCAAGGGAGATCTTTTGATCTCCCCTGTCGGCCTCGGCCCATAGCTATCGTGGTCCACTGGGCATTTGCCCGGTTTGCTCTATGGCCAGTCCGGGCCTCCTCTCTTTGATCTCTCCAAAACTCCTTAATGGATTTTTTTCATTATACGAGGTTCACCATTATGTACTTTCCCCTCTCTCAATATCATGTCTCTCTTTTCCTGCAGTCCTGGCTTTTGTGAACACCAGGAAACTTTTCCCAACAATACATGACGCGAGCGCATCATAAGACAAGCTCACGCCATTTACAGTGCACAAGGTCCTTGCAGGGAGTCCTGAAACAGTGCTACTTGCTGAGTCTGCCCTCAGTGGGCTGGCTAAAATGATTGGCAGGCAGCTTGGCTTGTATTCCCACCAGGCTGACCTGCCAGTTATATGGATGGACATGCCCCCTTACTGGGTCGGTCAACCCCTTTCCACGCAAGCCCATCTCCTTATGAGTGGAGCCAGTGACACAATCACATCACTGGCTCACCTCCTTTACTCCCCTAAAACCGGTGTCAGGAGGTAGTTTATTTATACCATCATGCACAGATTATTACTGGTGCTGTGTATGGTGGTATACCTCTGGTATACCTCCCAGCTTCCCAAGTCTCCCTATTTAGGAGGAACTCTCCCTATTTTGCATCCAAATTCCTCTTTCTGTTTTCTATCCTAATGTTCCCCTTTTCTAGGAACTCCATATTGTTGGTGTATCTGAGTGAATAACAGAGTGACCCAGCAATACTCCCAGTAATGTGTGTTTAAACTGCAATAAAGGTGTTTACAAATCAGTCTGTGTAAATAAGATACATTGTTCTTGTTCTAAATGAAGTTTCTCAGAACAGCCCTGTCCTTGGCTACACTCCCACTTAAAATGTTGGACGTATGAAATTACAATAGTAATACAAGCGTGAAGTGTTCATTCACAAGGCAATTTTAAAAATGTGCGTTTGTTTTGATTGTCCGTATGTATCGCTAGATACTGAACCATTTTGTGTTGCATACAGTACTGGATTAACATAATAATGTATTTATCTGAAAATCTACGAGTGCTATCTATATCAAATGGTCCAAACACTATTAAAATAAAAACCATTGTTTTAATCTTTTAAAGTTTGTTTCCTAATTATAGCACAATCCCTCTAAACATCAACACACATACACACACACATATATTTTAGTTTTTTTGTTTCTCTAACAAAAAACACAATATCTGTGTCAATCCTTTCACAATTCACTGTTTAGTGAATTAACCCCAAAGACTATTTGGGAGGAGTAGATTGCAGCATATTTAGGGCTTCGACACAGTATAAGGCTCTGCCTTTTTGCACACCACTTTTTAAATGTATATCTTTTATATGCTTCAGCCATACAGAGTAACTCGTTATACTCTGAGTTGTACTGGATTGAAAGCTGAATTGCAAAATGTAGTCAACAAATTCAAGCTGTGACTAGTTGAGTTGGGTAATATTTCCTTAATAACTACTGTGCCTATAATGTGTAAATTGGATTTTAATCTGACACTATTCAGAGTAGTGCATAACCCAGACTGATAAGAGAAGCATTGTGGAATATGTAGGTCACAGGCATCTCTTTTTAGTAAAAGTGAACTTTAGTGTATTTTATTATTTTTAAATTTTACTAATAACAAATGGCGTATTTTATTAACAGTCATTATTAAAGTAAAAACTTCATGTTTTCATTAAAAGTAAATGATGATATGTTCAAAAAATTGTAATGAGAACTCCTTAACAGTAGCTGGGTCCATGGTACACAACCATCCCGTCAAATATGAAACTGGATAATCCTCAGCAATTACCAGCATAAATGTGTGTTATGTAGTGTCCAACATTAGTGGCAAAGTGTTTTGTTGAATACTAAGCAGACATACTTTATATATTATTATTGCATTTTTTATTTTTTTTAAATTTTTTATGGCTACCTGATGTAAATCCATAATAGAATGTACTATTCAGAAGAAACACCTGATTGACTATTTTAAAATAAAAATCAACGTTGTGCCTTGCTCAAAACCTTACATTACCTAAAGTGCTAGCTGGGTTATTTTACGATTTTAAAATAGAAATGAACAGTTCTCCTGTTATTTAAGGTTGTGCCTTGCTCAAAATCTCACATAACCTAAAGTGCTAGCCTGGTTAAGTGTTTGTTTTTTCATATATTTAATTGCTGTCTTATCTTAAAGGGACACTATAGTCACCAGAACAACTACAGCATTATGCAGTTGTTCTGGTGAGTATAATCATTGCCTTCAGGTATTTTCATGCAAACCCTGCCTTTTCAGAGAATATTGCATTGCCCCTAGGGACACCTCCAAGTGGCCACTCCTTATATGGCCACTGGAGGGGCTTCCTGGCTCAGGGCTGCACAGTATGCAGCCCTGCCGTTTAACACTATAGGGTCAGGAATACATGTTTTTGTCTCTGACCCTATAGTGATCCTTTAAGGCTGGATATCTTCTTGTATGGCATACAATGAAGCTTAGATCATATCTTCAATCCACATGCTCAGCTTTGTACTTGCTACAAACACATTGCAGTGGCAGGAATAGTACAATTAAGCGAAGAGATAATAAAAAAGGTGGTTTTCCAGCATAGCAGGACAACCTATTACTACTTCATGCTATATATGTATGAGTACACCATAATAGCAATGCAAAAAAATAATAAAATACTCTATAATACACGTGAATAAAATGGTAAATAATGGAATACGCTCAAATACACTTTAAACCTCTTTTTTTTGTTGATTATTTTATTTGGAATAAAATTAGCATTTCCCAGTTTAGAGGATAACTTTGTAGTTTGGGTCATGTGATTGAGTGGGTGAATGTGAGTGGGTGGAGGGGATTGGATTGATTTGCACATAATTGTGATGGTTGATTGTGACTAATTGGAGGTATGTGATTTAGATCGGTTAATACAGCTTGTTTGGGGGTAAGTGATTGCATTGTGAATATGTCTGGGTGGGTAGATATGAGTATGTGATGGTTGGGTGGCAGTGCATGACAAGGTAGATGGCGTGGTACCTGGCTGAATGTGTCAATGACCGCGTGAGCATGTGACTAGGTTGTGAAAGTGTGCATGGCCTGGAGGTGAGGGTAGTATAGAGCTGCATAAATATTGCCTGGGGCCCTAGCCAGAATACCATACTGAGATCTCTTTCTAAAACACTGGGCAGTTTTCTGTAATTAGGGTGAATGAGTGTTGTATGTGTGTGTTGGCTGAATTGTTAATGTGTTGAGGGGAGGTGTAGTATTTTGTGTGTGTGTGTGTGTGTGTGTGTGTGTGTGTGTGTGTGTATATGTATACATATAATGTGGTGGCTGATTGCTCTACAAGAGGGGGCATAATCTCTGGTTGTTCTTTGGATTCCTGGTGCACCAGGAAGATGTGTGGGATGGGCACCTCTGTTGGTGGTCTTGTGGATCCCTGGTGATACAGTGGTGGGTGAGCTGGTCCAGTGTGAGAGCTCTATCCTGTACAGACCACTTTGAGTATTCTCTCAGTTCAGTCAATGATTCAGAGCGGCTGTGGCACCCTGTGTCATCAAGTAGCAGTGGGGGACATCAAGGGTGCTCTTAAAGTGGTCTGCACCTCATATTGGTAAAGACCACATTGTTGTGAAGAGGCATAGGGCTGTGCAGGGTGTTCTTTTGATTTCCCTGGTGGCATGAGGAGGGCCTTCTCAAAGTCAGAGATTTAGGCCCAGACAAGGGCCCAATAGGCATCTGAGCCAAGGCCCTAGGTGGCCTCCTTGGTCTCCTAATGCATAATACAACTCTGCTCAGGAAGCATTTGCTATGAAATTCAGGGCATTTTAATCCATGTATCTATCCTTCTGCGGCAATTGGACTGCCTTGCTGGACAGCCTGTTATGTTTGGCATCTGTGAAGAATTAGACACTCCCTTCACAGGGGGATGCATCATGCATGATGCTAGTTGTATCACACAATGTATTAACTAAAGTGAATAATCTAGGCCAGTTTAAAGTGAATTTCAAATTTAAGGTTGAAATTGCCAAACTGGAACAATTCTCATTCAGCTCTGCTTTCAGTTCGGCTACTCTGGCCTTAAATTTTAAGTTCTTTGAATGCTCACTTTGGTAAATAACCCTCTCTCCTAAATTCTGCAGGCCTGATAAAGAGGAACTTAAATATATATTTGATATTGTATTTTGTTTCATTTCTATGGTTGCCATAGCATGGTTTCCTAGATACAAAATGCCATCACATTGATTGGCAACACATGAAAATGCTGACCTTGTATATATGGAGGGTTCCTGATTGAAGTACTGACTTTCTACTTGCAGTATTTCAATTACACATACACCAGGGAAGCACTATTCCTTCATTGCCCATCACTAAGTCCTGGACAACATAGTCAATTTGGCATCACCACATATTTGCCATGCCATTCATACTTGAATGCTCTCCTTGTAAAAGAGGGGAGTCTTAATAACGAAGGAGCATGGCAGCGATTCAATGTGT